ACGATGTTACACCGGCGGTATATCAAAGATACGTATCGCCCTTCTTTCCGTGCGCAAATATGGGCAGGGGAAGTTTCGTGAAAACTTCCAACCCGAAGACAATGGACAGAACCGGGCAGGTGTCCAGGTTGTGAAATCGATGCAATTTAAAAGCGAGGTATATCGCGCGCGAAATTTTTCGTAACGAGGTGAGCGTCGAAAAAAATTGTCGGCAGAGCGAGAAACACGTACTCGGAAATATTTCTGATAGTTGTTTTTATCGTGCGATAGACGACAATCGAGGAGTTTTTGACAGCTGACGCGGACAGAAGGAAGCGGGGCGGATACGTTGTGCGGTCTGTATCTCACGCGCGCGATAGACTCTCCTCGGAAATTTCTTTCTTCTGAACACGCACAGATTAGATCATCTACGAAATTGCACGCACCGGAAAACATCGGTATAATAAAATGCACGCGTGTTATCGTCGATTCTAGCGAACGTGGTCGAGTAAAACAGCTTCGCTTACATAGCTCGCGATTACGGTTACGGATTTGTCTTTCACGGTTTGAATTTTCGCAGACCCAACATCTCGACTTCCTCGTACGGATATTTTGACACACTCTCTATCTCTCTCTTTTTCTCTCTCTTTCTTAAAACACAAAGATTGTCAAGTTTAATGTTCAAGGTGAAGTTTTGAAGTCGAGAATGTTGTACAATTTCAGACAACGCGGCAGAAATGACAAATTGTTATCAGACGCGGAGAAAGAGAGGGAAAGAGAGAGAGAAAATATATTCAGGAACATATCCGGTGGTTGGCGGGTTGAAATTGACGATTCTACTCGCGATCCTTTTTCGTTTTTAGCCACGAGACACGCACGTCAAATTATCCCCTCTCCGCGGCGATGAAAAAAAAAAAAAAATGACGCAGGAATCTCGACGCAACGCGCTTTGGCGAGTATGAACTTTCGACAAATCGGCGATGGGAGGAAAAGAAAAAGAAAAAGACGCCGCGCGACGGAGGCCGATTCCTCCCGCCGGCTTCGGTGACCTCGAAGCCAATCGGCGATTTTACAATGTCCGAAGTATATCTTTTGCGGGAGCGAGATGAAAAGAGACGGCGAAAGAAAGAAGAGATATGTACGCGAGAGAGCGTGGTTGCCATGTTTCTCGTTTCAGTCTGTAGACCGTCCAAATACGCTTCTCTGCTTCATCCTCTCAATTTCTCTCTCTCTCTCTCTCTCCCTCTCTCCCCCTCTCCCTCTCTCTCTCTCTCCGCGAGTCTTAAGGCGCAGTCGAGCGATATGGACATATCGCTTTAAAGCGCCAGCCGGTGACGTGGCAGTGGTGCTCACCGATCGATACCTCGGCTGCGTCTAACGTTCCCACACGCGCGTAAACACACCAACAATTTGCATCCCTATGTAAGCCAGGCGAATCGATGCGCAATCTGCATATGCATAATCCATATTTCGTTCTCGCGCGCTATACGCTTTCTTTCATTTCTCCTCCGTCCCTCTCCTCCCCCTCCCATTATAGAAAGTAGCTTCATTCCGAGAAACTAATGTCAGTGAGCTTCTCCGCGAGATTTTTTTATAAAATGCCACTCAAATCTCAATTGAGAGAGATATTCAAGTAACATCCGCGCGACGAATTAATCCGGACCGAATGAAAGTAACAAACGCGACATTACATTATTGTTACGTGGAAGAGAAACAGAAGAAACTTTGCGTTCAGGCATCGCCAGGTATGGCTCCCCGAAACTCCGATCAGGTGTGTCGGAGGTAAAACCTGTTGGCTCGCCTTCCTTCTTCCCTTTACGAGAGCGAGACAGGTGGTTGCAGGTTTTGAGTCCTCCGAAATGTAGAAGAGAGAGAGAAAGAGAGAGAGAGAAAAAAAGAAGAGACTCGAAGAAGCCCGGAGGAAAATCTCCCACCGGGATCGAATCTCCGTTTCGGGGATCCGATTTTTCCGGTCCGAATGTCGTCGTTCTTCGTAAATTTAGCCGTGACGAAGAGAACGCGATGGACTTTACGTCGAGCAAAGAAAACGCGCAACAAAGGCGAACAAAGACGACTCGCGAGCCGTAACGGAACGCGCGCATCCGAGATGCGCACGGATTTGCGAAACGCGGAATAAGCGCAAACTTATTATCGCGGCGCGAGCAAGATGAGTCACGAATTCATACAACCGAGTCTTGAGATCCACTTTTTTTTTTTTTGTTAGACTTTTTTCTACTTTTCAGCAGTCCGCGCCTCGGCGACCGCGCCGCCTCGGCAATTGGCCACGCACGTTTGAGACTTGAATATTTTTTTCTCAAAAACTTTCCATCAACAAAAAGAGATGGATTTTTTTTTTAAACGAGTCGTCGCAACATCTTTACTTATGTTTCGTATTTTACATTTTATTAAAGTATTAACATAAAATTAATATTTCAGCAGAATGAAGAAGACCGTAAACTTTCCGCGAAATCGCAAATATTATATATATTTAAATTACTTTTGTCACTCAATTAATGAAAAAAAAAAAAACCAGTCTCGCGTAACTCTCGACGAGACATTAAAGAAGCAAGAACGATTACGTCTATTTCGCGTAACACGCGCGGGGCTTTCCTACACGCAGATGCGAGGAATATTGCACCAGATGTGCGCGCCACGCATGCGCAGTCGGGCGCAATAGGATCCCAAGTGCACTGACCTCTTGGCCGCCATGCGAAAGGCGGACTGTGTGTAGGAAAGTGATAGTTGCAAATATACAGTTTGATTATATTATGCTCGTCACTTTATTGCCTCCCTTTTAAAAGTCGCGATATCGAGAGACTTCCTGCTCTTCTATCCAATGTTAGCTTCGACTAACACAATCGTCTTTTACACAATACTTCAACGATTTATATCGAACATATCATCACTCCCTACGTATAATTACATAAGTGTCACATATGGGATTTTCAGTTTATTGCATAGTGACACTTAGAAAGTCATGTTCTTTTTATGGTCTCTCTCACTAAATATTAAAAAAAAATATTCATAAGTAAGGTACAAATTTGAAACCAAAAGATCCCTAGCTATAGGGAAACATATGAAGTTTTATACTTTTAAACTGCTCTCCTCTAAAATTTGCGTTTTGGAGTTACGGGATTATACGTAGGGACTGACGATATGTCACTTGCGTGCTCGTGAGTTTGGTTCAAAAATTTTTTAAAAATTATTAAAACAATGATAACAAAAATGAAACAAATATTTGTGTTAATTAATGCAAAAACTTTCTCTTTCTCTCTTTTTCTTTTAGCTTAGCGCAAGAATTTGAATAAATTTTTATAAAATTATTTTGTTTATATTTAATCTGAATGAACCAAATATGTTTTTATTTTTCTCGTTAAAATGCATACAAACGCACAATTGTGTACATTTTAATTAATAATTTCTGCTTGATGTGAAGCATTATATTTATAAAAAACAAACTCGGAGTTTTTTTATTCGAATTTTAATACACAATTAAAAAAAAAATCTGCCTGGAAAACACGACATGACTGTTTTATACGTGCTAAAAATGTGTCGTCGCTTTGCGTGAGAAAAAGAAAAGCATTGACGAAACTGAACGTGTAAAGCAACGCCGTCATACGAGCGTATTCGAAGGGAGAGAACATAAAATCTCTCTGCGCGTTTTGCGGAGCAGTCGCTAGAGGGCAGCACGTTCCGCGCGCCAGAATCTGTAATGGGATTAAAAAGGCGCTGCGAGCACCACCGGTCGACGTGTTCGAGAACACGCGGCTTAACTCGGAAATAACACATTTTCGCTATTCCGACGAGATAATCGGTCACGGGTCTGAACAAGTCTCTGTTATCAGAGGCGATAAATGACAAGAGAGTCACTCACCTATGCCGTTCCATGTTCGTGCGATGTCACGTCGAACGTGATGCGATCGTATCCAATCCGCTCTCTCTAACCGTCGTCGTCAGGGCGCGGGAGCGAACTCCACGATCCGAGAACAGGACGCTCGTTGCTTAACACAAAAAACACACACACACGCGCGCGCGCACTCGACCGCGGGGACGCGAACGTCGATCGCGCGTCAACGACGATTTCCGATCGGTTTCTTGTCGCGGAGACACACACGCGCCTTTACCGGGCTTGTCAATTGCGGGAGCAACGCATGGCGACGCGCCGCGAGCGCAACTCTGCGCACAGGGCGCTTTAAACGCTACGTCACCGAATCGAACCGCGCACCGATTGGTCACTGTCACAAGCGCCGGCCAATCCGGCGAAGTCACGAGAAATCGCGCGGGAACGCGCAAAGTTCGGCGGCCGCTATGCGCGCCGAAAACGCGGCCGCAAGAGTGAACAACGCACACACAGTCGCGATTGGTTGTTACTTTTTTGCATTTTTTCAGACTGATGGACCTCGCGTAGTTCGCATCGATCAAAACGGATGAGAACAAAACCGATCGAAGCGACATGTCAAATACACGTTGTGTATTTTTTGTATAGACATGTTGATTCTCGTCAACATTATATCGAAAATAAATAATTTATTTAATTACTCGACAAAACGGCAAACAAACCATTTGAAATTTGAAACGCGCGCGATCGTTAAGATCGCAAAATTAATCGGCGATCGTCAATTGTTGTCTCTAATTACAATTGATTAAAACGAGATCCAGTCGCCATTTTGCGTTCTCTCGAACAAACGAGTACGAATTGAAAAAACTCGAGCGCTTGAATGCGCTGAGTTAATGTGTGTGTGCGAGTTTGTCACAATACATAACTCGAAAAGGTTAATATACCTTACATTGCTCTCTTGCGAGCGCGAGAATGAGAGTTCATTGTTGCGTGCTCACGACCGCGCGTCGAAAGGAGGAAGAACCTGTTTCTCTCCGGGAAATAAAAAGAATCCTCCTCAACTCTTTCTCCGTCTCCCGTCGCGCCCTCCTCGAACGGCGAGATACAAATATAGATATGCGCGCTTGCCCCCCTTACGAGTCGGAACATTGAAGTTACGTAGTAGCAACGCGTGTCGTCGAGATGGCGCTGCTGGCGCTTTACGTGCGTCGTTTTCTGTCGTGTTTGCGCGTTGCGATATGTAAGCAAAGCGGCTCGATATTCGCACGTTCGAATGCGCGTTTTTGGCTGCTCCTGGCCGGATTCTCGTCAACGTCGACAAATGAGACGTAGTGAGCGACGCCGAGGTATCGACCAGTGCTTGCCGAGAGTGCGACTAAATGATGAACTATCTAAACAGTATAGCAGGCGGCACTACGACCGCAGACTCGGGTTTGCAATTGAACAACATTGAGATTCTGTATACCAAGGTACAGAGGATTTACATCAAACCGCAGCACAAGGAGGAACGCCAGCGAGATCTCAGAGTCAACGTCGAGATCCACGCTGGAATCAGTCCGGTTTGCCGGAAGGTAAATTCTTTGGGAAATATCTCTTGGCAATCTTCACGTCTTCTAAGAGAATAGATGTTAACTGTGTGGCCCAATTGGTAAAATAAAATCAAGTTTTTATTTTTTATTTCAGAGCTTGTGCGTTTTGATAGCAGACGACGACGATCCCTGTTTTCTCTACTCTTTGTTCATTACTGAGGACGATTTTAAACTGTTAAAAGCACAACAGGGTCTCCTGGTTGATTTTGACAACTTTGCCACGCAATTGATATGCTTGCTGGAACAATGTCACATTCCGGCAAATCCGTCAAAGACCCCACCAAAGTTTCTTTTGCTTCTGGCAGAAGAATCCAGCGAGTGGAATTTCAAACTTGTCGAGACAAACAATTTCAAGCACCTCTGTCACTTGAGTCTAAATATATCACCTGCCCGTGATTCTGACTTAAAAACTCACATGGCAATGAAGATTAAACAATTGAAGGAAAATCTCATGCAACAAAATAGAGATGCGATTAATTTAGAAACTAGAGTAAACGATTTAACAAGCAAGCTAGAAACAAAAATGAAAGAATTGGATCAATTGGAGCAAAAATATTTAGCTGAGAAGAGTCAGATACAAATTAATTCTTCGCAACAAATAAGTTTGGAAAAAGATAGGTATGTGTTATATGAAAATGCGTGTGCCTTAACTTAATAATACTTTGATATTTTCTCTCTTAGATTCGCTCAAGCACGATTAGAATGGCAACGACAGAATGAAAAAGAAAAAATGGAGGTTGAACAGAGACATGCTGAGATTGTAAAACAACTACACACAGAACTTGCCGAGCTGCGGACGCAGAACATGACGTATAGGGACAAGCAATCCTTTTTGGAAGCTACGAACGCAGAGCAAGTAAAAGAAATACAGAATCTTGAGAAAGAACTTAATATCGCCCAACGAGATTTGACACTGGTCAAGAAGCAAAACTCGAAGTTAGACGTGGATTACCACGACAAGGACAAAACCGTAAATAGCTTACGTACAAAAGTAGCTGTGCTCGAACAAGAATTAAAAGACAAAACGGTGATCATCAACAAGCACATGGAAATGTTGAAAACGGGCAAGGAACAGAAGCAACATTTGGAAGAGCTCTTAACGGAAAAGGACAATCAATTGCAACGCAAGCAAAATTCTTTGAGAAGTTTAAGCGACGAATTGGTGAAAGCCAATGAAATTCTAACCAAATTGCAAAATGAACTCGCATCGACCAAATCGAAGTTGAAATTAAGAACAAGTATAGCACTTGAGCAGGAAAGACTGTTGGACAGTAAACAAAAGGAAGTCGGACAATTGGAAACTAAAATGGAATGCCTCGCCAAAGAGGCGAAAGATGCCAAGAATGAAGTAGATGCACTGAAAGAACAGATTAAAACGTTGCAGTACCAGTTGGAGGAAAAGGAAAAGACTATAAAAAATAACGACAACGGTAAAATTGTCTCATTTTCTCTTACTGTTCTTGATAAAAGAAATTGTCTCTACGTATAATTGAGAAAACATTAATATTTAATCTATTTTGCTTTGTATGTTTGTTTTCAGTGATTAGTTGGTTGAATCGAAGATTGGCGGACAATCAGTCGCCTTTACAAAGTGCCACCACTCCGGCTCCGGTCGCGATTCCATCCGTCCCGCTGACGTTACCCAGAACGACCAAGTTGTTTCCCAACCGATACGAAACACGCACACCCGCACCTAGCACGACGCAGCACAGCACGCTATCGGGTTTACCCATGAAAAATCCGATCGTGCAGAATCCGAACATTAATCAAACCACTCGTGCAGCAGCGCGGTCGATGGGTGTCGGTGGGATAACCGAAAGTTCCGTCGGGTTAACTACCTTCAGTAAAAGCGGTCTCATCTCGAGCACGAGCACACCCATGGATCGCTTCAATGTGATAAACAAAGCATCTGGAAATCCACCGGCCTCGACGTCGGCGCCGGCTATAATTGAGAACAACAACGGTCCGACGGTCATCTCGAACGGCACCAAGGCGAAATCCGCGAGCGTTGGCTTGCAGGGCGGACTGAGGAGAGCGGGTTTAACCGACAAGCCTATTTTACCCTCGGCGTATTTTCCCAAAACCCTGCATTGACGCTAGATGTGTCCTCCAATTAGAATTATTAACACAGATGAGTATAACTCATGTCTATTTAAATTTTTTTTTTTTTTGTTTTTTTTTTAAGAATCAAAATGTGCAAACGGCAAAGTTGCAATATTGCCATTGAGTGACAATACTTGAAGTTTGTCGTATTGGGGAGATGAGAGTACAAATATTTGTAAGAACGACAAGTATTATTTAAAAGACAATTTTTTAAAGAGAGAATTTGATAAATTTTTAATATCGATACTTTTTATACAGAGTATCCGGAAACTACTGGAAAATATTTTTGTGACGAAGTTCGTTGGGACACTGTAAAAGACAAATTTTAATACTTGAAATATTATCATATTTTTAACTATTATAGACACTCGTACAATTTTGTAAGATTTTCAATATTTTCCAGTAGTTTTGAAAGACTTGTATACAGAAAGGGTATGTATCAAAACAGTGATTTAGCTTCCTTATTTATCACGATCACGACTTAACCATCACGCAACGACCACTTAATATTGTTTTTTTTTTTTTATTATAATTTCGTAATTAGTTTTTTTTTTTTTATCGTTTACATGCTAATTACGATACGTTCTGACAGGCGTACCTGGAGAAAATAATATTAACACATTCTATATATATATATATATATACATACATACATATATATACATATATATATATATATATACATTTGTAGAGCTCTCTAGTTTTATTTGTAACTGTAAAGATCGGGCAAAATCGTTAGACAACGTTGGAGAAACAAAGAAACGTGCCTTACGTCGCGAAAACATTTTGTTACGCATATAAATTATAACGTACGATCTGTTGTATAAATTTTGATGAGAACGCAAGAAAGAGAAATTGTTCGCTAATTAACTCAAACAAAATTCTTGTACGAAATAGGTCTCTCAAAAGACACGCGCCGCACACTACGGTACGTGTAAATCTAGTAAATTCAATTTTACCAAGCACGTCAATTTTATTAAATTACATATATATATAAATAAAGCAACGCAGTATTAAATACGACAAATAGCTGTAAGAAAGAGATGGTAAACGATTTCGTATATTTTACTACTTTTGTACATATGAACTTATATAATAAATCGTTTGTATCATACGATAATAATAATAATAATACGTGTCTTGTATGGAAAGTTGCAGTCTGTGTGTGTACGTGTGTGTGTATATGTGTGTACAAATATAGAGTAAATTTTTTTTTCTTTTCCATTCTCCGTAGTATGAGTTTGTGAATGATATTATAATATTTCGAACCCACGAAAAATATACGTAAAAAGATATACTCTCTTCCATACATTTCTTATGCACAGCATCGTAATATATTTATAGATATAATAAACGTCTATATATATATATAAAATATTTACACAAAAAACAAGCATAGACGGTATTCGCAAATACGACGAATTATCACGTGTATCAAAGATGGATTTTTCGGAATGCAAATTATACAAACAACAATACTGCTTAAGCGTTAAAACATGATAAACTGTGTTGTCAGTATTAACAAATCATACAATGAGATATATATATATATATTTTTTTTTAATTTGCATCGATCGGCGACGACGATACGCTACTTGGTAAATCTGTACATCCCATATCTAAAAGAGGCATGTCCATCCGTTTGCGTCTACGTTCGCATTTCGGACACGGTTTGTTGGCGTTCAAACAGTCGGCGTGAAATACGGCGTTACACGCGCCACACTGTAAAAAGGAAAAACATAGATCATGATAAGACTGAAGAAATAAAAAAATAGAAGAATGCCTTTGCGCTTACTCGAAAAGTAGACTCCATTTCAAAAGGATAGATGACCTTCGGATTGTTGCACATCTCGCATATAAAACCTTTCTGACTGCAAAGCCAACAATTCACAACGTGATCCCTCGCAAATTCAACAACCTTTTGCAGTTGCTGCGTGAGAATCCCATTGGGTATATCGAGAAGATCTGACACGGAATATTGATGAACGTGTTCGTAGAGGTAGTCCCGGGGAGCGACCTTTTTCTGCAGGGACTCGATGATGGGCTCGCGACACGTGAACAAATACGCTCTCAGCAAATTCAACTGTATCCGCAACGACTGCAACTGAGCCATAGTGTCCACGGCCATGTAAATCTTTGGATTCAAGATTTTGAGATCCAGCAGTGCCGGTTTGTTCTCCAGATACGAGGCGGCTTTTTGGGAAACGGAGTATTGTTTCAGATCCCAGTTGTGAATCATGCGCGACGGTATAATGTACTGTCCTTCCGCCATGCACTTTGCGCAATAATAACCGCCCGAATACGAGCACACGTGCGCTTTCGAGAAGGTCATGCCGATTGCGTGACCGCACTCGAGACAACTGTAGTTCTGCGCGTCCAAACCTTTTTCTCTCGGGATATTACCCAATTGCTCCTCGAAGTTTATCACAACCTGTGGAAAATGACGATTGTTTTATTTTTCAATCGTTAAATTTCAACAATGAAAACATTGAGAGATTTTTCAAACATTACCTTTGGTTCGACCTGAGCCTTAGATCCTTCTTCGACAGTCACTTTCTTTGGATATTTGTTGAGAAATTCCTTCAGATCCGATACCGAACTATTTCCCGCGGTTTGGTAACTCTGTATGAGCGCGTCGTAAGTGGGACCGTCGCCAGGTGTTACACAAGACGCGCCCGATTCGTGAGATATCACAGATGAAGTCAGAGAAGACTGGCAATCCTCGAACGACGTTGACCATCCCAGTTTTCCTATCAGAGAATTTCCCACGGTGGTAGCGGCCGCGTCGTGAATGACTCTGTTGTTCATTGAAGCATCTTGCAACGGTCGGTTCTCCGCAACATCATTATCTGCACTTCTTTTTTCCGCACTGCCATTTGACATTTGTTGCACCTCTTTTATCTCTTTCTTATCTTCCTCCGGAGTCTTCTTTTCAGACTTATTATCTGCGGTATTCTTATGCAACTGTTGCGTGACATTGTTGTCCTGTGTGTTGTTGCTTGCTCTCGCGTCAGTGGAATTGTTAACGATATCAGAAGACCTCTCGTTGGCCAGAATGATCTTTAGCGCCTCGTCTTCCGTGATAGACGCCACGTTGTTGAACACAGACTGCGACGAATTAAACGATCCTATGCCGATGGAACTGCCGATGGAACTCGCAGTCTCCACCTCGTCGAAGTTGTCGTTGTCGGTCAACTCGGTGGTTATCGTCTTCGCTATGTCTACCGCGCTGAACACGGGGCACGATTTCATCGGCGGCGACCAAATGCCAGCTATGAGCAGAGGAGTCGAGGACCAGAAATTCAGGAGACTGCTGTTGCAAGCCAGCTCAAATTGCACGTAGTCCAAACTCTCTATCAGTCTCTGAGCGACCTCGACCAAATCCACGTCTCTGATGTAGGCTGAACGATTGTAGTATGGCTTCAGACCCGAATTGTTTCGCCTGATGGAACAAAAGTAGCTAGCTAACATACCCTCGTTCAGCGCCAGTCGTATCCAGGCGCGACAGTAGCCAACTTCCGTCGTGACTTGGCTCAATCCTTGTATCTGATCTATGATCTGGCGATGAGAGAACACAAGCAGAGGTCCCCAGAAGCTTGGTTGCGGCATGGCATCGAAGTCCGGACCGCTGAGAGCCTCGGTCACGCGATTCAACAAGCTGTCCTTGAGACCGTGCAGAAACACAGCCTCCAACACGGAGCACAGGGTCATCGTCTCGTCGCAGTCGCCTACCGCGCTCTCGACTCCTGGAGCGCTCTGCATCTCCATGACGCTCGTGTTGAGCTGCTTCTGCAGAGAATCCCTGACCAACAGGTTTCGCTTGTTGCTGGCCAGAGAATGGACCGTCTTCAGTAGCGAGTTCATTTTGCGCACTACTACCAGCAGCACAATACGTCACAGCAAAAACACGTCTTCTGCCGCGATTTCGTCGCTGAAGCATCTTCGCGGTCGCAGTTCGGGGGGGGGAAGACAAGGAGGATCACCCGGAGTCGAACCGAGCCTCCGGAGATGACCGCGTCCTTATGCGAAAAATACTATATAAGTCGCGATCATGTACTACAGCGAGTCGTACGGTCCTTCGCGTTGATACTGACCCGAATGGAAAACAAGGAAGTACTCTCGCGCGGCGATGAAGTCATCGCAGCGATAGCGAACGCGTACGCGTGCCAGACGCGCGCGTTATTATCGCGCGAATCGCGTGTCCGTGGAAGTAGGTTAAGTGATTAAGAGAAACAACGCATTTCTGACATACGCACACGCACGGATTCTAATTGATGGATTTTAAATCGGCGATCAACAATCATAGCCACGCGAATCTTTCGATTGTCTCGCGTGAAAACACCGCGAGCAAATGTTTCCTGGTATTTTCAACGTTGGCGACGATTTTTCCACTCGCGTTCACATTCCAAAACGCTTGTCATTGTCAGCTGTTTCGCAAATCCTCGGAATCGCTCGGAAACTACGCGCTAGACAGCCGAGTTTCCACATGTGTGTCATGTGACACGCACACACATGTAAGCGGAATTTCGCGGACAAGGAGCGGCAAGGGAAACGGTTGCTCCTTCAGCCGCCGGTAGCGCCACCTAGCAACCGCTCGTCCAAAACACTGCGTCGGCAGTGAACATTTTTCTTACCGATACTCGATAAGTTAAGTAGCCGATAAAAGGGTTTCCTTATTTTGCGACGTGGATCTTGTAACAAACGTATTCGAGTGTTGTTTGTTTCTTCTCGTTCTTCTAATTAAACATGTCGGGGACGATGATGGATGTGCGGCAGTTAACGGTCACATATGAGCATTGACGCAGAAGATTTTTTTGGAAAGAATTGGTGCCCGTCATTAACGAATAATTTACATTTAGACACAGACTGGCGTATGGACCTAACCGAGTAGGTCCACAGAACCATAATTGCAAAGAAGTAGATGGATGTGCGGCACCGCGGAATCGATCATGTTTTCAAGTCCGAGACATTCCGGTAAGATCCGTGATAAGATTCACGTTTTTATACGACTTATATTCTAACTAATTGGTTTTTATTGTTTCACTATCGATTTTATTCTCTAATTGACTTTGTTACATCGGTGTTGCACTTGTGTGCAACGATTCCAATTGGTTTTGTCTCTTTCTATAGTTTCTTGGTGACCGTCACTTGTTGATATATGATATATTTTGTTTATTTCCTATTTCAATTACTAGCACAACACAGGCGCGCGCTACGCGCACGCTATTGTTATTTTTATTTAACGTGTTGTCAGTGAACACAACCTGTCACCGCGATGACAGATAGTATATACGTCTTATAAACCATATAATACACATATGAGAAATGTCAGAAATAACGCAAAATCAAACTCAAAAAATAGTGAGAGAGAGAAGTGGAAAAACAACACGTGACTAAAGTTACGTGACAGAAAAAAGAGCAAAAAAGAGAATATTATATATATTATATATAAAACTATATATATAATACACACATACACACATATATATATATATATATACCGTAATTACGTGATCGGGGTCAGTGACCCCGCCAAGGCCGCGCGGCCGAGGTCAGTGACCCCGCCAAGGCCGCGCGNCCGAGGTCAGTGACCCCGCCAAGGCCGCGCGGCCGAGGTCAATGACCCCGCAAAGGCCGCGCGGCCGAGGTCAGTGACATTACTCTGTAGTGTGTATATAATACATATAATACAATATAAAGTATAATATTATAAATATATAATAAATTATATGTATAATATGTATTATTTAATGTTATATATAATATAAATTACAGTCACGTTATTTTCACGTGTTGTTTCTCTACTCTTTCCTGTCACGTGACTTTACTTTAGTTACGTTTTTAATTTTTTCTACATATACGACGAACTGTCTTAAAATCGCTTTTCATTATTTACTCGCGCGTAACGGCTCGAGTCGCGCTATCACGATTCCACATCACCTTAGATAGCATTTTTTTTTTTCAAGTGACATCCTCGATAGGTCTAATCCACTCTCGTTATTTAATTGCAGAAATTGTTCAAAGTGTCTTTCTTGTTCTCGCGAACAAAGTTCAACTCTTCGAACAATGTCACGCGTTGCACGGTGCGCTATCTCGTAAGTGGTTTGAGAGAATTGCTTCTCGCGCAACTTCTTCCTCCTCGTCGTTGCGTCTGTGCTTTAATTAGATCTTCGATGTACTCAACCCCGAACGAAATGATCCAGCACGTTAAGATCTGGCGACCGCGCTGGCCGAATGATTGGACCACCGCGATCTATCCATTTGTCCGTGTAACGCGCGTTTAAAACTTCTCGTGCCCACGACGTGAAAAATGGGGTTTCGTCGTGTTGAATGATCAGCTGTTGCCGCACCCTGAGAGGAATATCCTCGAGGAGCGGCTGGTTTTCTAAAAACTGTGCGTATGTTTCTCCATTTAATCTTGGTGGGAAAAATAGGAACCAGTCTAAAAATTGCCTAATGTTATTTGGAAAAACTGCAAGAAAATTACTAAACTTACTACTAACTAAACCGCTAATTACTAAAACTTACTATTAACTAAACTGCTAATTACTAAACTCGCTACTTTATAATTTAGATCTCTATTATTCCTGCTCACACATTGATGATCCAACCGATACTGAAACGCGTCCTGGCGAGCGGGTTTTCTTCGTTCCTCAAAATTTATACGCGAGTCGAACACGCCGTGTGCCAAGCGAAGGTCGTCCGCAGGATTGCGACGAGGAAAAGAGCATTCCGCGCGAGGAATCCCGTTTACCCGATGATTAATATTTGTTAGAAATAGCGCGCGAACATTAACTGAAGACAATGAAATTACTTTCAGAAAAGAAGGTGCGTTGTTCTTCATCTCCTGCGAGAAGCTGTTGTACTTTTTGATAATGATACGGATGCGATCCGTTTTGGAGGGAGAGCCAGCCCGTGCATCGCGAGAGAGAGAGAGAGAGATAGAGTGCACTAGCCGCGTTCTCTTCGAAGAACTTTCTTAGGATTCTTTCCTCGTCGTCGTTCAAGCGAGTACGTGTACCAGCGTATTGATGATTTGGCAATACGCGTCCTGTTTCTCTAGCACATCGTAATATTACGTTAAGTGCAGCATGTCGCCTTACACTCGAGAATAATGTACTGGTTTTTTTTTTACATTTTCCTCTTCTTTCAAGTTTGGTTTCTAGTTTTCAGAATTTCCATTGCTCTATACGAGCAATTTCTTTATATGTCTAATGGGTTTCTATTGTTTTTTATATTCAATAAACATTGTGTTTTCTGAGTTAATGTAAATATTTACGCAATTTCATTAAAAGCGACAGGACTGATGCGACGATGGATAACTCCAATTTGATAGAATTCGAATAGGGGAACACAGTTGAACTGTACGTCCCTGCTTCCACTATTCCCTTCGTTGTCTCGTGTTCAACCTGCTGTCTCCTTCAAACCTATTTGCCCCCCTCCTCCCCCCCGACATTGTACTTTCTCTTTCCTTGTTCTCTCTCTCTTTCTCTTTTGTATTCATACTCTTCGTCAACGTAGAGTGTTCCATCATGTGTTTCGGTCATTCACACGCAATATACTTGTTCCAACATTTAAGATGCACAAAGTGCGTATCTAAATATAGAAGCAAGAATATAGAATGATGAGCACTTTGTTGCTTTCACGGAGCGTCACAAGACTAGTATTTACATACCGATCACTTTGAGTATTTATAATTTTTTAATAGAAATTTCTCTTATATTTCTCCAAACTGTTTAATCTGCTTGTTTTGTTGCTTTCAAATGAAACTTGTGTTGAAACTTGGAAATGACAAAATTCTTTAACTGAATTGCAATTTTATCGTAATTGTTTATATATTATAAATAATTTTCTATTGTTTGTTGGTTCATCTTTCAAGACAAGATTCTTTAATTATTCGATAGGTTTTTATTCTGCTTCTACTTACATCGGCAACTATTTCTATTCTTACATATGTGAGAACTTTTGCATTTTCTTTGTATTGAAAACAATGCGTTTTCCCATCTTTCCCGTGCGGAATTCTTATTACGCTTTTGTGTTTGCGTATTGCACTCTTCTCCCCATGTGAACATCTCGAAATATTTTGCATACTGTACGAAAAGTTATTTTTTTATTTATCTCAATTTTCTTGTCTGTCAATTGTCGCATTTGTTTATCTCTTTCTTCATGATTGTCTATTGCCGTACGTACATACATATATTTTATTACTTTATTTTACAAAAGGTTTGTAATAACTAAAATAGAAATTTCTTCCACAATTGGTAAATTTTGATTTGCGATGTTTTGCAGAAGAAAAAAGTACACGAGGTGTTTTTGTTTCAATTGTTCGAAAAGTCTAACAGAAATTCCTTTATCGTACGTCTCTGGTTACGCGCATGGTGGGGATAAAGGAGCAATGAGGTGTCGGTCGACAGGTCGGCGAAGGAGTAGTGGAAGATCAGTATCAACTCGACTGCTGTACCGGTTGGACCGACTTTCTTGATAGTGACGAGCGATCTCAACTTGGTACGAAGAGCGCGCGACTGATAAATCCGGTTAATCAAAAGTCTTGAGAGATTCGCAGTCAAGAGATAGAGATAGAGAGAGAGAAAGAGAAAAAGAAAAATAACGTTTGCTGTGAAGCGTCGATCCGATAGTGACGTACGCAGTTGATCACAAGAGAGTGGACGCGAACGACCTTGCGAACGTGCACGTGCAATCGGTAGCTTGCAAACAGCCGCTCCGAGAACGCTAGTTTGTCCGTCATAGATTCGTGACAGAAGCGATTCTGGCAGCGAAAGAAAAGAGAAAAACCAATTTCGAATTAATTTAAGTAATTTATTTTCTGATGTCGTGCGCACTAAACGATCCTTAAAATCCTCCGTCGAAGATTTCGGATCTCATGATAGAATCGTTATTGTTGTTTTCGCGATGATCGACCTATCTTGTGTAGTACTGTACATGACAACAACCGAGTGACTTGTTTTTCGCGCACAAAGTCGAGAATATCTACATAATATAATATGTACGCGTAGTTCGTTGCTTTTGATTAACATCATGTTGCCACCGAGCACTGTTAGAAATATTTACGCGGTAACACCGAGCGACAACACCGAACTGAGAAACGTATCGTCGGAGATAGCGTCATCCAACAACGCGTCCTTCAGAGAATCCACAGCGATTGCTCGTACCTTCGAGTTGAGTCAACCGAACAACGTGATATCCGCGACGTTGCTGAATGCTTGCGATAAACTGCGAGTGATCGACAAAGAGGAGGATGCCGAGATGTTGTCGACCGCGACCGTCGAGACGTCGTCGCGTCTTTCAACATCCGCGCAGAGTTACAATTACTTGTCGCAACTGTCCTTGTTGCCGCAAGCTCCAACAACCCCGCAGAATAGCCCGGAGGCGTCGATCTTGTATTTTTCACCACCTCGTCTACCATCGCGGACTGTAGATTCTATCAGTGACTATTTGTCATCGCCGCGAATTCCAACAATCCCAAGGAATAGTCCGCAGACAACTTCGACGATCTCGTCTGTTTCACCGTCTCCAGAGATTCGGTTACCATCGCACCAGTCTCCGACGTCGCGGACTGTGGACTCTCTGAGTGACTATTTGTCGTCGCCGCGAACTCTAAAGAGTTCGAGTTCGTCACCGCGGACAATTTCGTCGATCTCGCGCATCTCGCCGCCTCCGGAGGCTCGCTTATCATCGCACCAGTTTTCGACGTCGCGGACTGCGGACACTACGAATAACAACTACGTGTCGTCGTCGCCGAGCTTGTGTACAAGATCTCCAGAAGCTCACTTATCATCGCACCCGTCCTTGCTGTCGATGTCGCGAACCTTAACGGTCATGGTCGATCCCTCATTGCCGCCACCAACTGTATCAGTGTCGTCCCTAATAACCTCGGTACCTTTCTTGGACAGAAAATCTTCGGAATTCGGATGCCCGAACTCCGGTCACGAGACGTCAGCGAACCACAAGACGGTGCCGCGCAACTTCGCGAGCGCGCGTTCTCCCACGTGCTTCAACCCAGCCGAGCAGGTCTCGGCGGAACACTCGTCGCACATCCTCGACTGGAAACGTAAGAAGTTGGACGACAGTCCTGGACGGACCGCGGAACGCAACTTGAAACAGTACATCGAGTCATCGGAGTTTGGCGTCAACTTTAGGCCGAGTGAAAATTACAAAATGAACGATCTCGCTCGATGCGAACCCGGCAACGGTTTTATGGCTCCGCCTCATCAAAACAACCAGCTTGTTGATGTCAAAACAGCTTTTATTTCGCCTTTACATTTTCTACGCGGTCTCCACGCCTCCCCAAGTGAGGAATCGCGCGCGGCAACGTTGACGTCAGCTCCGGTTGGTCATCAGGACTTGTCAAAAAAGTGCGTTTTTCCCAAGATAGGATCATTACCGATGGCCTTCACGATCACGAAGACTCCCTCGGGCACCGAGATCGACATATTCAATCACATCTATCACTCCCTCGGATTGAAAGCGATGAAACACGGCGTTCCAAAATCCAACTCTTTCGCGAACGTCACCTCCAAGCGGAACGTCGAATTCATCCGCGTACCTGAACTGAACAAGGTCTATCGTCAAGGAAAGCTCATGGGAAAGGTACGTGCGCAGAAATTGTTTTCGATTCTTTGATCATTTTTATAAGGGCGAGATAGTTGAGCTCTTCGCGCTCTTTGATTTAATTTTTAAATTGTAGGTACGTTGAATGCGAAAATTTGCTAAATTGAGTAATACAAGCACACAACGTGACGCGTTGTGTTCTTCTCGGAAATCGGTGAGAAGCGATATTTTACTCAGACGATGATCGATCGTGAGATCCGCGCGACGCCGCCGCCGCTCTTCTCTCACCGCCCGGAGATAATTTCAGAGAGAATGCAGTCTCCTCCGTATCCTCCTGCTCTCCGTGAAAACCGGTCGTCGTTTCGTCATCCTGATTATTCGCACCCGGTCCGCTCGGGCGTTACACTCGGTATCTTATGTTAGAAATCGGACTTTCCGTTATGCACCGCCGCGGCTCCGATACTTTATCAAAACTCACCTTCTCTCTGATATTTCCGTGTTTAACACCGTGTGTTCCACATGGTACGTTTCCACGAGCCCCCGGCGTTCGCTATCTCGATACATCGTACTCGCAACCGGTTGCCGGTTTCTACGAGTTTGCACTTTGGTTTCCGCGCGATGCGCAATTGAAAAACTTACACGGCCTGTTTCGCGAATCTGAGCACGTAAAAACATCGCGTGAGGATTTATAATTGCGTATTTTTTTTTATTTCTTAATTTCTCAAAGAAAGAAAGAGAGAGAGAGGAAAAAAAGAAACTTACATCTTTAGTTTCTTTGTATCTTTTTTGAAAGTTTTTTTTTTATTTCCACACGAAGAGAAACAATTTTATTTATTTCGCCACAGCCAAGAGGTAGTTTCTTTTTTATATTATTTATTTATATAATTTATTTTTTTTTAAGTTTTAGACTTCAAACGAGCAAATTTATCTGCGGCTCGACAAAGCTACGTTTTTTCCGCGCGATTTAATTTTGTGCAACGAAACGTTGCATAACTGCTTTATCCTATTGCGGATTGTGAGAAATAACGAAGGATAATTTTACTCGCCTCGTGAAATCTTTGAACCGTGAAGAGAATGCGACAGCAGGAGATCGTCGTCGGCTCGCGCGGCTTGTGTGGTGGAAAAACAATTTTTCCAGAGAGTGACGTGACGAATTTACGGCATTGTTCCATCTCGTCCCCGTCCACGCGGGAGCAGTTTTTAAAAGTACGCGCATGTTCGTACAACAGATACGCGCATCCTTTGCGTGTGCGTTTCATACACAAAGTCAATGACATCCGCTGTCTTTCACTGATTGGCTCCGCGTCGGTTGCGTGCAGTTCGCGTTCAGGATAAGCTCCGCGGATGGGCCTCTTCCTCTCGCGTCTCTTTCCCACTCTCTGGATCGTCGCGTTTTTTCTCCGCAAAAGATTGTGTTCGCGTTAACGCAAACCGTAACGCACGACTGTCCACGTGATGACGTTTTACACCACGGGTATAAACTCGAGATATTTAACGACGGTGATTGACAGAAAAAATTAAACACGAATTTTGTCGAAATCTTTTTTTTTTTTTTTTGCGGGAAGATACCGAAATTTAATCTTAGACTTCTCACACGTTTCTTTCGATCTCTTTGAAAATTTCCGTTTCCTCACACGATAATAAACTTCTCTGTAATGGATTTCTATTTTTCTCTGTACATCCAATGGATCTCTAATGTTTCTCTGTGATTTAGTGCAAAGACCTATACATTCTTTTTTCTTTTTTGTTCACATAAAAAAACTTCCTATTCTACTCTGACGACAATTTTTGCGGAGAAAAATATCAGAATGTTACAATCGAACTTTTGTATTTTTTTTATCTATCATTGTTATCTGTTTCTGAATGGAAAAATGTTACGTTCTCATCTGGAGGTTTTCCCAGACCGTTTCTGTCGTTCTGCGTCGGTCTTCTCAAACGAAAAAGAATTTTTCTAAATACACTTTTTTATTCTTTGAAGTTATTTTTATGAAATTCGTTTAGTTCAGGGAGAAAAGAAAAATTCAACTTTCTTCATTCTCGACGTCATATCGTTCCCGCACGAAGGAAGTGATTTGTGAAACGCGAATATGTCGGAAGCGCTCATTCATGTCGTTATTCGCTTCGGCCGCGCTTTATGCCGCTTCCTTTCGCTTCGAGAATTCCGCGACGGATGGTGAGATTTGACATTGCGCGAGCACGCGTTACGTCGAGAAGTGAATGGCTTGTGAATGGGATTATTTCTTTCCAGATTCGAATTGTGATGACGCATTTTGCGCGCGCAAAAAAAAAAGACTGACCGATCGGCGCTGCGAAGCGCGACGACGTTGCGTGGCTTCGTTCGCTTATTTTCTCCGTCGAAGAGAGTCCGTTCTCGAGGAGAAGCATCCTCTCCTGTTTTGGCATCTGCGTCGTCGAGTCTCTCCACACGGCGACGTGACGCGGCGAGATTTCTCGACAAGTTGACCGCCGCCACCGCCGCCGGGAAAATTACGCTGAGAATTTAACGGGCCGCTGTGTCCTTCGTGAGGTGAACGTCAGTTCCTCTCGGCGCGCACATATCGAGAAAACGACACTCTCACACGTCGATCGATTTATTGATTTTGATGATGTCTTAATTAATTTGTAATTTGTCGCTCGTAAAACGGACGAGAATATTTTTAACGAAAGGCTAAAGAAATATCATCGCGCGTAGTAGTAAGTTTCCACAGTTTGTTCGGCTGATGCTCGACCGATTGACACACTTTGTTGTCCGACAGCTGGCCGGTGTTTGTTCGCGGATATTTCGAGATAGAGAGAGAGAGAGAGAGAGAGAGAGAGAGAGAGAGAGAAAAAAAAAGCAGGGAAAACGGAGAGGAGAACTTCGATTACAGCGGAAAGCGTTCAGAGAGATGTGAAAAAAGAACGGCGTAATCCCATGGGGGGATGGGAGGGCGGCGCGTTTTCGTCAAAAAAACAGTTCATTTAACCGCGCGTGCACAAAGCACGTGTGTACGAGGATGTATTTTTAGTCGTCGCCGCGCGGCACGGCATTTAAAAATAAAACAGATCGCTCGCCCCCGTGTGTGTAACTGCGTGTAATGCGAGTACACTGGGACGCGATAAAATCTTTTGCGGAGAAAACGCGGGACTTTCGAGATCCTTTTTTTTTTTAACATTTGAAAATTTATTGCAATTTACCGTAGAAACGCGCGAAATCGAAGAATGCGAAAAAAATAAAAAGTGACGTCAAGCGAAATTCGTCACGCGATCGACAGGTTTCAGGATCGAAGAGGTAAAATGTTCGGCAGAAGTTCGAAGAGTTACCGGAGAACAAAATATGAGATTTTGACAAAGAATGCGTTTGCTTTGTCGTACACAACGCATTTGTGCACGCTACGCGAATCGAGTTTGTGTGTGTGTGTGGGCGCGCGTGTAACTGCAAGGACTGGTGTAACGACCGGAGCACCATCGTCGGCCATTCTATTATCGTCTCGAACGTTATTTATTATTTTGTTTTTAGGGAGGTTTTGCAAAAGTTTATCTAGTGACCAATGAGAGGACCAAAGAGATTTACGCGTGCAAGGTTATCCCGAGGACCGTTAAAAAGAAACAAACGCATCATATCTTGAAGGTGCGTATTTTTAGCTAGGAACACGTGTGTGAAATGTTGTATTGTGTTCGGAAAAATATTGATTTGTGACATACCATCGTTTTCTCTCACAGATCCAGCAGGAGATCGATATCCACAAAAAGCTCAATCACGAGAACGTCGTCAAGATGCACGAGGCCTTCTCGACTTGTAGCGACGTGTACATGCTTTTAGAAGCCTGCCCGCAAAAGGTAATATCCTATGCGTTTCTATCTTATTTTTATTTATTTTTGTTATCTATCATTTATTTTTGTATCTTGTTGTAAAAATACAAAAATGTAAAGGATCAATTTTTTCTTGCCTGTACCCGGTAGACCTTGATGCATGTTCTACATTACCGTAAGTGTCTCACGGAACCAGAAACTCGTTATTACATGAAGCAAATAGTGGCCGGCGTCGAGTATATTCACTCGCAGAACATTATTCATCGGGATTTGAAACCGGGCAACATGTTTCTGTCGACCGAGATGATTGTCAAGATCGGCGACTTCGGACTGGCGACTATAGCCGACAAAAACAGACGAATGTAGGATCCGTTACTTTGCAACGGCGATAACTATATCGTCACGTGTTTTATTATTATTATTATTATTATTAAGAAAGGGTTGCGTAAACGTGGAGTTGTTTGTTTGTATTTACAGGACGGTGTGCGGCACACCAAACTACATTGCGCCGGAAATATTGAAGCAGCAGGAGTACGGCTTCGAGGCGGACGTTTGGGCGCTAGGCTGCACGTTGCACGCGCTGCTGATGGGTCGGCCGCCGTTCGAATCGAACATGCTCAACGAGACCTACGACCGGATTCGCAAACATATGTACTTGAAGATAGGTCAAAGTCTCGTCAGTTCCTGGAGCGAGGATTTGATTAACAAGATGCTAAGGCCTAATCCTAAAGATCGGGCAACTTTGGACGAAATAAAAGAACATTCGTACTTTCTCTATCATTATACACCGACCTATTTGCCCCGTACATGTTGCTATCAAATGCCGCGAAAAATCCTGGAGCCCTCGATCGCCAGAAACCAGGAACCTGAGCCACAGGTGAAGAACTAAGACACGTCTAGGTCATCTAAAGGTATCTTCGTTCAATGACGGGGTGTTTTTTCAAATGTACAAAATTGTAGGCACATTATCCGGTCGTTCATCCCGATGAGTCGTTGCGCCACAATGTCGCTCATCAACAACAGTCGGTTCAGACTCAACAAGAGCAACCAAGACATGAGAATTCCGTGAATCGCTGCTTCTGGAGCAACTCTTTTGTTTCGTGCAGCTGGCGACATAAACTGAACGAACTGCTGCCGTCATTTCGATTCCGTAAAACACTCTTTCTCAAGACTGATGGTCTTCGCAAGAAGAAGACCAATCCTATACTCATGTATCGCGCTCTGAATGCGTGCGTGAAAGAGATGAAACCGACGTCGGACAATCCGCAGACTGTAGATCACATCACGCCGTTGTTTATCACGAGATGGATCGATTTCTCTCTCAAATATGGATTGGCGTTTAAGCTTTCGGACCAGTCGATCGGTCTTGTTTTCAATGACAACACAAAAATCAGTTATACTCATGACAGACAGTGAGTATCAAGAATATTTCGATATAGGAAATAATATTTAGACACACACGCGCGTCAGTGCTCGAAAAACTTAGCTAATTTTTATTTTGTTAATTACGATTATAGCGTGAATTTGTTGCAGGAAAGTGGAATACGCAACGGCTAACGATCAGATCGAACGGTATCACCGAGAAAACGATATGCCAGAGCAGTTGAAAGAGAAGCTCAAATTGCTTCATCGCTTTACTGATTATTTAAATAATCGCTTAATAGACGGTAAACGAGATAATAAGTTTATTAATATTAAAAAGTATTGTAAATTTATTACAACAAAATATTTAAAACGTTAACATACATTTTTCATAGGTGCCGAGTTGACTGCATACCGCTCGCCATCGAAGCAAAAAAACGCTTGTGTGCCTCGCATGAAACGATGGATGCACATTCAGGATAAAGGTACTGTGATGGAGCTGACGAAACCTTTGTTGCAAATGAACTTCACAAAGGACCACACCAAGATAGTGTTGTCATACGAATCCAAGACCACGGATTATCTGGTCACTTACATCGACACGTCGCGCCAGATGACTTCTTACTGGCTCGACGATCTACGTAAGAATGGTTGCACCGCGGATCTCTACTGTCGTCTTGTTTATCTCCACGAGACACTTCTCAAGTTCAACGAGATGGACGCCAACACGGTCTCCTCTTCATAGTCAAACATTCACGAGAGAACGTAACAATAATATCCAAGTATGTATTTAGGGCTGGTTATTACACTTACTTCAGATAAAGTATCGGGTAGTAATCTATCTAATGGTTAAAACTCTAATTTACGTTGTTCCATGTGTTGGTAAAATTTACATCTGGTAAATGACAGAAACCAAAAGATAAGTTACAAGGCACTCTCAGTACCGTGTAAGTCGTATCTAACAGATAAATATATAGAAATAAAAAACAGTGGGGGATGCGCTATATAGTCAGGTTTTCCTATTCTATGGATAATAACCTGTCGAGTAAGGTGAGATTTAAGGTAAGGTGGAACAATCGGCCTTTAAACAATTAGGCATTCGGATATCCGATTCTGAAATCCGCGCAATTTGGAGAGAACGTAACGTTAAAAAGTCTTGAATCTACAAATTGCAAGTTGTTGTTCAAATTTGTTAAATTTCTCGCTTATATTTTTGCAATTTTTTTCTACTTGTTATCAAGGCTCGATTTTCTAACGTAAAATGTATTTTCTAAAGTTTTTCTTGTTATTTTTATATATATATTAAGCAATCTCAACATACGTAAGCAAATTGTGATACGCATTTTACGATTGTATATTTAGGTACATTTTAGAATTATTAGATTGATGCCACAAAAAAAAAACAAAGTTTTTACTGTGGTATGAAAACCAGTCAAAACGTTAACTGTGATAACTTTTTGACTCTTAGACGCAGAAAATACAAAACATATGTGTATTATAGTGTTGAATTAGTGAAATAATTGCTCCTGTGTGTGTGTGTATGATCAGACAAAAAAAAACACACATTAACGAAGTGATGGCTTTCGCGAAAGATACACACATCTGTATCGTTTTTTCTAGAATCTAGAATTTACAGTTTGTTGTGAAATTTAACGGAGTGCGGTATGCGTCACTAAAGTTCTCAGTGGCGTTTCTTCAGATCTCTCATTTTTTTAATACAGAAATGATAACGTGGACGCGCTGTCGAAATCAATGTGATAAGCGTGTAATGATGTATGAGCGTGCGTCGTAACATACACACCTCCCGGTGACTTTTTTTACGATGCCAGACCCCACACTTGGGGGATTGTCAAGCACTGCATCACTACCTCTGTAAAATAGGTAGCATCAGGTAGTAGCATCAGGTAGCTGTTAAAATATTTATTTTTTATTACGCTGATCTCTCTTCATAGTCCAGTGCCAGCGAATAAGATAGATTTGTCGATAAGGTACCAAATATCGCCCAAGTGCCTAAATATCGCTCACTCGCATTTCTCAGTTCTATACTGTGATGACTAATTACATGTTTGTAGAGGAGCCAATAAGTCGTGTAATTTCGTTAAGATTTGGCAATTTTATCTCTTCATTACTTTTTCGTATATAAAATATATCTTTTTATCTTTATATATACAAAATGTACATAATTTTATACTCGCTAAGAGAATATGTTCGGAAATTGTTTTGATAAAAACACATGTACGTGAGTCTGTTCTAAAAAATAACAAGACTGATTTACAGAAAACAAAAATTTCTGTGTGGTTTTCTATATTAGGATGCTTTGATGAAGTTTCCAATCTGGAAATGTGTATATAATAACACAAAATAACAATCTCTCAAAGTTTTCTGTGATCTTGCGCAGAAAAGGAAAGCATTATACACGAATTGATAAATCCGATGAGTGGAGGCTGTGAAACTGCGGCAATGTTTTGAGACTAAATACTCGCGTGTAAATAACGCGGAGTGATAAGAAGGTCATGTTGCGTTCACGCGCGCAACATCTGAGTCTCGGCAGTATCTTATCGGACGCAGAAAACTCTTTTCCGCATCTGATAGGAGAGCATAGGATCTCTTACGGCATTTGATAGCAACATGTACGGGGCAAATAGGTCGGTGTATAATGATAGAGAAAGTACGAATGTTCTTTTATACTGTTTAAAGTTGCCCGATCTTTAGGATTAGGCCTCAGCATCTTGTTGATAAAATCCTCGCTCCAGGAACTAACGAGACTTTGGCTTATCTTCAAGTACATATGTTTGCGAATCCGGTCATAGATCTCGTTGAGCAAGCTCGACGTTTTTGACAAAAATCTTGATTCATAGTTTGTAAATGTCTTTATGCTTTCCAAATTTGCGCAATAATAATTTATCTTAGTAAAGGATATACGATATTCTTTTTGTTTGAATTTTATAAATTCTAACAAAACGCGTGAGACACGATTCGAATAACAAGGAATGAGCAAGAAAATGCAACCACTTTACATTTAGGAAAATCTTATAATTTATATTTTTTTATTTCTAACGGATCAGTCTCATTGCTTTTCGAACAGACAACGTATACGATCTTAAGTATAAGATTCAATTATAAATGACCATAAGTTAACAAGATCTGAGCTTCAGTCGTGTTTTATTGTTAAGCCATCGTTTTTGTTGTTCGTATTAAATTATATAAACTAATTTAATCATTAACTATATGGATTAATATATATTATATTATATATTTAATATAATATATATATTATAACATATATATATATATATATATATATATATATATATATTTAACATAATATATATATTTAATTAGTTGTATAAACTAATTACAATCTTTAACGATAAATGTTCAAAATTTCAAAAAAGTAGCAAAAACATTTTTAAGTATTGATTACTTCAAAATTTATTAAACTTTGTTAAAGTTTGTCAAACAAACGCGACCAACACACGACTGATTTTTATAAATAAAACCGCCAGAGTGTGATGTTAGTAAATTTTACACTGTTAATATTAGAGCATATATTTATTATGCATATATATATCGCGCGCGATATTTTTATGTAAGTATATTATATTATTCAAAAATTGTAATAAAACGTGAACTTTGTACATTCGTTAATTACTACAGATTCCACGTTTTCCTGTTTCTCCTCTGTTCAATTGCCTTATAGTGTTACAGCTACAATATGTTATAGTACAAGTCATTCCATTATTTCAACTATGTAAGTTTATTTCTCTGTCTTTTTATGTACGTTAACTTACAGAAATCTATGTACATGATTTGTTTTTGTATACATGTGTTACTGACGCTGATACATGTGATAAACTTATTTCAATATTCATTTTGTTAATGAGCAGGGAATTGAAAAACATCCACGCCGTAAAAACTTCAAAATAGATAGAAAAATACACAGGTTGAAAAAAATATTAATTGCACGCTCTTGGCAATTTACATATTGACTTTTATTTTAGAATTCATATTGCGAGACAAAGATGAAAATCTTGGCGACGGCACTGCCGGCAAAGAGATTGCCGTGATAGATCTCCATGCTGAGATCCAGTTCGATGTCCTGCGGCCCTGGGATGCTGCGCGTCATCACCAAGACCGCTTGCGAGGGCGTCGGTCTCCTCAGGGCGAAACAGGATTCCGTGGCGCGTGCAACATCCGGCGGTGCGCGCACGTCCACCAGTGCCATGCTGAATTGTATCGTCGACTCGGGCTGATAGCTTCCTCTCATCGTAAAAAGCTCTAGTTGACCGATGGACGGAATGGGCAGCATGCTCACGAAAGTGATGAAGTGGTAGGAGTAGTGTGAGGGTTGCCGAAGGCATGCCAAGTCGTCCGCACGACAATGTTTCGTGCAGCGGCTAAAGTTGAAGTTTACACATTTAAAAGATATATTCAAACTTGACTTAAAAGAATCAAATAGAGTTTAATTTTATTTATTAGTTGCCGCGAGATCATTACTTTTTCCTCGTGGAATCCCGGTAATATCCCGAAGGACAATTTATCTGATTGCATTTGTAACTGCCGCGTGTGTTCTGACACGTCTCGTCCGCTCCCCTGCAGACGCGGCCGCTCGAACACTCGTCGATATCTGCGAACAAACGCGAGCAGAGAAAAATTAAGTACAAAATCGTGACCACACACTGACCATGTCGTGATTGAGATGACGGCAGCAGGAACGCGCTGTCACAACCGAGATGTTCCAGTTTATCGACAAGCGGGTCAAGTACAATTTGCGCTGCGCTACTTAAGCGAGCAATAAAGTAGGTGGAACGCGTGTCTGGCTTGTACGCGCGGTGCTAACCGCACCGTGTGACTCAAGTAAGTGGACTCTCACTTTCCATTTCTTTTAATGAACGTTCGCGCAATTACGTTGACATAAAAGCGCGCCGAACCACATTACTTATTTTATTTTCTCGCCAAATTATTTATAATCGAGACCTGTCTGTTACTTTACCACAAAAAAAAAGAATTATTGTACCTTGACACGTTCGACCGTCGATGCTGAGTCTGTATCCGTCGGGACACTTGCACGTGTAGCTTCCGAGCGTGTTCTCGCAAATGCCCATGCAGAGATTGTTATCTTTGAACTCCGTGCATTCGTCGATATCGGTGCAAGATCGATTGTCATTGTTCAATCTGAATCCGGGATTGCAGGTGCAAATGTAACCGCCCCACGTGTTCAGACACTCGTGCTGGCAGAGCCCTGCCGTTTGACACTCGTCTATATCCTGCAATATTTGCATCGGGTGTAAATATGTAAATTTCATATCTCACTGGTGTGTTCAATACAACACTCACGTAACAGGCGCCTGTCGCGCCTCCGATATTCTCAAAGCCCTCGTTGCACAAACATTTGTACGATCCAGCGGTATTTTCGCAGCGGCTGTTCGATCCACAAACAGAGAAAGGACCCGTGTGCATGCTACACTCGTTGATGTCGACGCAATCATTGTTGAGCCCGATCGCGAAGCCAGCCGGGCAAACGCAGTGATACCCGCCTTGCCTGTTCTCGCAAACCTGGTCCTTGCCGCACTTGTGCGTGCCCTCCTGACACTCGTCTATGTCGATGCAGTACTGACCGGATGGGTCCAGGGTGTAACCGGGTCTACAAATCACTCCGGACACGCATCTGTAAAATTTATTTTTACGTACATACATTATAGTCTTTTTGTAATAGAATTATTTTGACGATTACCTGTAAGATCCCATGGTGTTGACGCATTTTTGCGCGAACCTGCAAGGATTCGGCGTTCTCTGGCACTCATCTATGTCCATGCATTTGCCGCCGGATCCGGGTTCGAAGCCGTTAGTGCAGTTTGTCCAAGGATTAGTTGGAGTCAGCGACGTCGTGGTCATCGTGGTTCTCATTGTGATTGGCGACGAGCGCGGTTGCGAAGTCGATGAACGCGGAATGCGATCGCATCTGTACGATCCCAGGGTATTCCTACATTGGTATCCAGGTCCGCAGTCGTGAGTACCTAGCGCGCATTCGTCGTCGTCCTCGCAGATCTCCGTAGCAGCGTTGAGGGTGTAGCCGGTGCCGCAAGATAAAAAACGCGTGCAAGTGTAACTGCCGATCGTGTTGTCGCATCGTTGCGTTGGCAGACAGTCGTTCAACTTGGAAGAAAAAAACATTAGGATCAGAAGTTCTATCAAAGAAGTTTGACCGCGCGCTTCTCATCTTCCCGTACCTGCAACTGACACTCGTTGATATCGACGCAGGCCTGCGTGAGATTATCACGACGGAAACCGGTCTTGCAATTGCACGTGTAGCTACCCATGGTGTTGACGCACTCCTCGTTACTGCTGCAGGCCTCCTCGAGCTCTCTGCATTCGTTGATGTCGACGCAGCCGCGATTTTTCACGAATCTGGTGCCGCGTATGCACTTTTGATTCGTCGGCGCCGGCAGCGGCGTCGTGGTCGGTCTTCTGGTCACGGGCACGGGCGCCTTCGCACAACTGTACCCACCCGGCTGATTGTAGCATATCTCGTCGCCGCAACTGTCCAGTCCTTCCGCGCACTCGTCTATGTCTGAGATTCAAGACAAGCAATTGTCAGATCGCGCAAAGAGAAAAATAAATCTTCTTTCGCAAATATTTTCAATACTTGGGTGAACATTTATGTTATTCATCAAAGCAGTTAGTCGACTTTCCGGATGAATCGAAAGAGATTTGTGGGACGTGCGAGTGAAGCAGAGCGAAGCGTTATTGTTCAATTGCGCTGTGAATATTTTAGCATTTCAAGGCTGCAGCATAACAAGCACAGGTAAACGTGCACAAGTTTGCGCGATATATACCTACATATATAATATGCGCACGCGTTGCGAGTTATCGCAAGAAAAGCTAACAGACAATCTATAATTCATCCATGCGTTTTTCTCCCGCGGGAAGGTTTACTTAACATGCTTCATTCGGTTAACCCGAAGAGAGAGCTCGATATTATTTCTGACGAGTTCTGAAAGTACGAAAAGTATCTGAAATTTGTGTGTTGTTGAGAAGTGGGGGGAGGGAGCGTTAATTTTATATTCCTTCGTTATAACTACTTTTCCTTATATAACTACTTTTTTTCTATGTAAACTAGAAAAGACACCCGAGAAGTGGTCAAAATCAGAGAAATGTTCAACGTTTCTACTTGTAAAAGCGGAGAAAATATCGATCTCACAGAGAACACGAGTTTGCGACCCAACATACCTGTGCATTGGCGTAAACGGGGATGATATCGGAAACCGGAAGGACACGCTGGTCGCTGACGTTGGCGAGGAGGAGACGGTCTCTCGCATCTGCGAAACACATCATAAGCATTTCCAGAAAAGAAATTACGAGAAATTATCTTTCATTTTCTATAGACCATTACGCCTAACGCAATGCCCGGATGTTTGTCAGTCCGAATTTCACGTGCCTGTATGTCCCTGGAAGGTTGACGCATCTCTCGGAGAACCTCACGTCACATGTGTACTGTCCGGTCAAACACTCGTCGATGTCCTCGCATCGTCGGGTGCTCAAAGAATATTGATATCCGGACGGGCAGGAGGGCAGTCTGGTCAAACACTCGAAGCCACCTTCCTTGTTTGCGCAGTATTGATGCAAATCGAGCCGACAGTTGTGCAGGTTCTCGGAGCACTCGTCGATGTCCAGGCAAGTGCCGTTGAAGACGCGTCTGAAGCCGCGACCGCAGGGCGGTGTTACCTCGCAGACGAAGGACCCGTTCGTGTTGACGCATCTGTGAATTCACGTTTACGCGCGTGGAAATTGAAACAAAATTAAAAAGAATAATAATAACAATATCACCATAAAACATATAATTGTTACGCGAAGTAAAGATGAGAGTCCACCTGTGTGTATTCTGAGGACAATCGTGTCTGCCCAACAGACACTCGTCCACATCCTGGCAGCTCTTCGTCGTCGTGCTGAAGTACCAGCCGGCGCTGCACAGGGGCGAGCAGTCGTAGCCGCCCGGTGTATTCGTACATCTCTCGTGATCCCGACATCCCGGACCGACCGCGCACTCGTCGATGTCCACGCAGTAGCCCGTACTCGCGTCTTTCTTATAGCCAGGTCTGCACGGTTCCGTGGACCAATAACGATCCGTGCTCTAAATAATATAATTCGAAGCCACGTCACAGAATGATAATTTTTTTACGGAATTCGAAGAAATTCGCAGAAATAGCAAATCCGTTACTCACGAGGCTGCTTCTGGGCACCTGTACTTTATTGTATCGTGAATTAACGAACGGTCTTCTCGTTATGATCCTGGAGGTCGTAGTGGTGGTGGTGGTGGTGGTGGTCAATGCTTCGCAAACGTAAGAACCGTTCGTATTGACGCAGTAATGAGTCCGAGCGTTACACGTGTGCAAACCGAGCAGGCACTCGTTTACGTCTTCGCAGAATTCCTCGGTTTCGAGGCGGGAGTTGTTGCGCAGTCGAAAACCGGGCGCACAAGTTGGCGAACATCGGTAACCACCGTCCGTGTTAACGCAACGTTCGCCTATTCCACAGACCGCCAATCCGTTGGCGCACTCGTCAACATCTGCGAGAAGTAAATTGTTTTGAAACGGATTCTTCACGTTACGCTTAAATAATTTTGAAAGAAAAACCTATTTGTGCAAAGTAAAAGCAAACGTGATCATTTTTACCGACGCAACGGTGAGATTTTCCATCGAGAAAATATCCGTCGTCGCAATTCTCAATTTTATTGGCGACGGCTGAAACGGTCGTTTCTTCCAGCTTGTATCGTCTGTACCGATCGTCGTTGCTCTCTTCCACGGCGGTCGTGATTTTGTCCAATTTGACTGGCGCGCATCTAATTATTTTCGTCAATTTTTTGTTACCGCGCATTTGTTTCAATTAACATCATTTTGAAAAACACGTCGACGAAATTTCCCACCTGTAACTGCCGATCTCGTTGACGCAACGCTCGTCAACATTGCAGGAATGCAATTGCTCGCTGCACTCGTCTACGTCAACACACGTAGTTACTCCAGAGTCGGGTTCGCGTCGCGGTTTGTATCCCGCGGAACAATTCCTCGCCGAATTCGATCGCGATTCCGTCTTTCGACGATCGGGAGGATCTCTCGCGATCGTCGAAGTTTTTAAACACTCGTACGCACCGTCGGTGTTGAGGCACGTCGTGCCTGGATCGGTGCAAGGATTGCTCACCTCACATTCGTTCACGTCTAAAATAAATAATTACGATTTAACTAGATTAAAAAATTTAACTAGAGAAAAAAATTATTATCTTAACTAGAGAGAAAATCCGGATTGTGTGTCTGAAATTAAATTTTATTTATTTATTTTTCTTTTTGAGATATTTGCAGTTTTGCCGCGCACTATAGATAAGCTCATAACTATATCAAATGTTATTGGCTACTATTTTACACTAATAACATTTTACACGAATATATTTCTGTCAAAAATTGTTACCTTGCGTATTTCAATGTTAATCAATCACCTCGAAGCTACTCGCATGCAAAAGATACGGAAGTAAAGCGCAAATACGTGCACGGAATCGGGGATCGAATTCAATCTTTTAAACAAACCCCGTGATACCTCCGTTTTCTACAACACACCGATAAATCACCATCAGTCGTAAAATGCGGCATGCATGTGTGGGTCACAGATCAAAATCGAATAAAATAAAACATAGTTTACGCTCTTTCTCTGTCAAAACCTCATGTTTGTGACGTGAAAAGAAGCGACGTACAAATAAATTTATTTTGAACGTATAGTCCGCTCACCGACGCAGATACCCAGGCCGATGCTGTACGTGAATCCCTTCTCGCATTTCACGTCGCACTCGTAGGCACCCTCGGTGTTGCGACACTGTTCCACGTCTGCGAGACAGCTGTGAATATTCTCCGCGCACTCGTCCACGTCTGATCGACAGGAAGAGCGTGTGAGAAAAAATTCTATAGAGCGAATTTTTGTCGTCGCGCAATTGATATGGCAACGTTACCCTTGCATCGCTGCAGCGATTTGTCGAACTTGAATCCTGCGGGACAGGATCTCGCTCCGATCATCTCCAGACACTCGTAACTTCCCTGCGTGTTCACACAGAACGGCTTGTCCGAGGCGCAAGCGTCCGGTAAGACGGCACATTCGTCGATGTCTAAACGATATCGACAATTTGACGTTGTACGTGCACGTTAATTTCGAGAAAAATATGTTTCAATTATAAAATAAAAAATTTTAAGAAATCTCACACGCGCGCTTATGTTATAAGACACGCTCTTCATTACCTTCGCACGCATCTGTACGTAAGTTCAACTGATAGCCGGGAGGACAAGCCTCGTAGAGCGCGTTTTTGCTCGATTTCCCCGTGACGCAGACGTACGACCCTATGGTGTTTCGACATCCTCCTCCGGGACACACCTCGCGCTCCATCAGACACTCGTCCACATCTAATCGAGAAATGTCGAAGGACGCGAAAAGTTGACGATCACACATGCGAACACATCGAATGCACGCGATTTCGTGGAAAAATAAACAACAACAACAAATAGCGCAGCGAGATGTTGAAAATTTGTAGGACTTGTCGTTGAACAAACAGATAAAATGCAATTCTCACAGAAAAGCGGACTACATTACGAGAGTAAACAGCGTTCTATCAAACGTGTGGCGTTACACAACTTTCAACGCAGGTGCATGTGAAAACATAAATCAGACAGAAACGTAACTAGTGTGGATGCACTACAAAACAATTCAGCGTGTTATTCACTTTCTTACCTCAATACTATTTTTTTTTTTTTGCAACACACTACTCTTTTTCTACACATCCGTGTGTTTAGATTTTTTATACATACCGTCGCACACTTGATTAGCGGAATTATAACGATAGCCTGACGGACACAACGGCGAGTCCTCATCGTCGCTCGTGGTTGGTCTTCCTTTCTTGGATGACTTCAAAATGCACGAACGCGCGTCCTTAGCCAATTCGTATCCTGGATTGCAGCTGCACACCACCGCCACTCCAGTGTCGGTGCATCGGTGTTCGCAAGGGTGAGTCGGTTTACATCTGAAAGCAAAAAACTCACCGTTGTTACGTCATATCTGTCTCGCTAATAAATGTTAAGAATCTCCGTCTTGTATACACACCTGTCGATCGGCTGATCTTGCCTGCAGGTCTTCCCGTCCTCCAACAAGGTGAAACCGTCGCGGCATTTGCAATAATACGAGCTCGGGGTCGGTACGCAAATGTCGGAGCACAGCATACCCTTCATGAGCTCACAGATATCGTCCAGCTCTGCGAATCGGAACGACTTTAAAGTCGCATCGTTTAAGCTCGGCAAAAAAATTTACAACCGAACGACATTCTCTCTCGCGCGCGAGCTTTTATTGAACGCGACGCATTAAACAGAATTTATTTACAAACTGATTTTATCAGCGAGCAACAAGTTGTTCTGTTTACCTGGAGTTGGTATCAAATACGATGTCGATTCTGGCGACGTGGAGGACGAATCGGAAGTCGACGACGAAGACGAAGAAGTAGGTGATGAAGATGAAAACGAAGTGGACGACGACGACGACGAATCCGGTGATGGTGGCGACGACGAAGCCGGTGATGATGGCGACGACGAATCCGGTGATGATGGCGACGACGAATCCGGTGATGATGGTGACGACGAAGCCGGTGATGATGGCGACGACGATGGCGACGACGGTGACGAGAAGTCCATGTCGGTTTCCGAGGTCTCGCTGGATGATTCGCTTGTGAGATCCGTCGTCGAACTCGGTGAAGCTTCGCGACAACACTCTAAAAACGCGGGATCCCAAGGAACGCCGAACGAGAAGCTCTTGAAAGAGCATCCTTTGCCCAACGATCCCGTGAGAATACCTGACATTTTTTTGAGAAAGGTTTAGTACGCAATAATTTGCATAAAAATTCACTTCTTGCGTCAATCTTAATGAATTTATCGGTCACCTAGCTTGCATCCCTCGCAACAATCCCGGTGATAATCACCGCGTCCGAGTGTCCTGGATTTGGACGAGGTGCTCGTCACACACGCCAGGCCCTGGCGCGCGTCGGACTTTCCTTTTTCGCATTGCAACTCGTGATAAGCTCGATTGCAGCAGATGTCTACCGTCTCCAGGCAAAGACCCTGCTCGACCCTTGGCACACCGGGCACGGGCCCGGTAAACTTCTCGCACCTCAGACCTTCCTTCGCCCAGGAGGTGCCCAATTCGCAGCACTTCTCAAATCGGTCCTCCATTTTTCCCTCGACGGCAAACGCTACGTCGAACGACAAAAACACGACAGGAACCGTGTGATAAAGTTCTAAGGATTGTTGCATAGAAAAAAAAAAATTTATCTCAACCCTACGATGACTTTTGCTGAACCCGCGCGCGTTTTGACACAAGTCAGGGTTTATTTAACGTAGGCAGTTATAAAGAAATTTTACTTAATTCTGAAATTGATAAAAGTTTGACAAATACACGCTCCGTGTCTGTTTGAGAAATAAAACGTCAAACTATGCAGTTTTGCCTACTTTGCACGTCGTAAATCAACTTCAGAAGAGCAAGATGATGGCAAAAGTAGGTCAAATGCTCTGTGCAGTGTTTGGTTTTTGTCAGCTTATCTTTCAATTTCTTCGTCACCCGCTTCCCTCCGAGCAGTTTTTCGTAGTGTTTGCATGCATTATTGTTAATATCGTATCGTAATTATGACACGGAGTGTGTAACGAACACCTCGCGTTTCTCGGAACGAAGAGCGCGCGTCTTTCGTCCGCCTCTGACGTACAAATTTCCGCGATCCGTCAAGACAGCGCGAAATAGAAAAAAAAAAAAAAAACAAAAAACAAAATCTCGCTTTGCACTTTGATAAGAGAGCGAAGAAACCTAGTCAGAGAGAAAATTGCGGCGATACGCGCAACAATTTTCTCACTCGCCTGATGATGACAGACGCGAATTATCTGCAAAATATATCAATCTAGTCGCGCAAACATTCTAGCGCGAAGGAGCTAGCGAAGATCTGCCAATAAAACGCTCTCACGATCTCAATTGTTTCTCAATGCGCGATACTGATGTAATGCGAAAATTAATTTATATCAATCGAGAGTGTCCACGCGAAAGTTTGCGCGCACCACCATGGGTGTCGCGTGCGCGCGCGCGCGCACGTTCCTTCTGTGACATTGCGTCAATTTGTGACATTGCTCGACGAAATTAATTCGTCGAAATCTGAGTCTGGAATCAACGCGAGCTTGTTTCTTAAAAAAGAGAACGAAGAAAACAGTTTTCGGAATTGAACTCGCGCGCGATTTTGCGAGATAGAGAAAAATTGTCGGCGCATTTTTTTAACACGCAATTACTGATATCTCACTGAAATACTCACCGCACCAGTTGAACTTTACTCATCGTTGGTTTTGAGATATCTAAAGCAACATCGTAGTAATTTGCGTGCGCGAATGAGCCTAGGTCAATGGAGAAGCAACTAATGGGATGATTTGCTTAACGCCCCTATACACTCATCGAACACGCACGACGCAATGAAATTTAGTTGATCACAAACACATCGGCGACGAGATAACTCGGTAATAATTCTCAAACAAGATACTTGGAAAATAATAATTGAAACATTAGTCGACAATTTGTTCTCTATCTGTTCGCGACGAATTAACGAAATTCGTTCCACCTGAGCAGCGCGGAATTTGTCGCTTTGATCTCCGCTTAAAAAAGTGGACAACAAACTAATTTTCAACAACCAATTTCGTTTCGTTTTCAATCGTTGAATCACATTGTAAAAGTATTATTCACTGACTGTGCCGAACAAATAAGACATTTTTTTTCTAGAATTAAATAAGCAAACGCTGATTTGTTGTTTTGCTTTTACGTAAAAATTCTGCGCTTTATTTCGAGCTAGACAATCTCCAGCGTATAATTTTACTTAAACATTTTCGCGAGATCTGATCGACGAATTTGATAGATTTGAACGCGCGTTCTAACGATACCTCGTTTGTGTAGAACCAGCTGTTCCAGATGGACCGTCACCATGAGAAGGGCAATAAAAGACGCCTCGAAATCGATGTGTCGTGTCATCTTTCCTCATCGATCTCCACCGATTGCGATTACAAATTACTCTCACGCGAATTTTTATTATCCCCTTTTCTTTTTTCCTCGTGAACGCGCGAGTCGTCGATATTCTTGTCTCGACGCGGATATACCCTCTCTTTGTCTCTCGCGTTTTCACCGAAAAGACCTTGTGTACGAAAACGCTTCGTGTGTGAGCGACCGTGATGAGGTTTCTCTCGTCGCCGGATGCGACTCAGATGAGAGCTCAGCTTGCATTGAAGCATTTGGCTCGCCGGCACTTCGGTTTTGTCATCTGCACCTTTGTACCATCTCCCTCGCACAGGCGTGGAGATTTCTCCTTCTACCCTTCTCCCTCCTTCTGCATCACATTACGTAGACGACGACTAAGTCCCCGTCCCGGTCTTTTTCACTATCTCCTTACGAATACGCGCGCGCACGCGACTCGTTTTCGCGAATGTTGATTAATAATAGCGCAATTTGAGCAAATACAAGGAGACAAGATAGACCGTTGCTACAAATTGTTACAAACGAAGCTGCCGAATTCCGAGGAAATTCCGAAAATGTTTCAATTCTTCACGTTCGTGTGTTTTTCATCGACTTTGATTATTTCGATTACTGACTTTTCAAAAAACTACTGATTTTTCAAAAAAACGTTCCTGCTGCGTTGTAGTTTGATTTGTCGAACAAACGTACACGCACGTACGCGCGATCCCGTCTCATAAACACGACGCGCGAGGCAGCCTCGCCGCTTCTTCTTGGACCGACATCATCATCATCATCGTCCGTGGTTTCTTCCGTTTCTTCTGCGCTTCTATTGGCCACGAAGCGTCTTTTTTCTGCTTCCACAACAGTGGTCCCCTTGTCGCGCGCCAATTTTCGTTCACCACTCGTCGGCCTCCAAACCTTGACGAGTGGAAATTTATCACATCGTGACACACAGACATTGCAAGCGTGTACGCGTGTATAGTTGGTTCAATATTTTTAGATTTACTTAAAAAATATGTTTATCGAATCTATCGGCGGCACGATTTGATGATCTCGGCGTTGCGTCAAAATTAAATTTTATTGTAGACGCGATATTTCTATTCGTTTGAATGAATTCCCGTTACGGAAGTATCGGTTCACGGAATTGGCGTAACACAGTTGAATTCGATTAAATTTACGTGCGGATCTTGTCTTGCGCGCGTCATCTGACTCGCCGGTTATCGCGAGGCGAGCGATCGTAACACCCCGGGACTCTACACAACACACAGAGTCGTGCATTGTGAAAAAAACCCCTGTCGTTTCGCCGCCAGCTAAGCATCGTCCTAGAGGTTTCGTCGAGCCAGCGTCTTACGCCAGCGTGCGCGCGCGCGCGCGTCTTCAAACTTGTGAAGTGGAGCTTTTTTGTCGCGACGATTTACGGTAGCATGTGCTCGGCCTGCTTGTAATCGGGCCGAGCGGAGAACGCGAGAACGGAGGACGATCCGGACTGTTTGATGTGAAAAAGCCGGGGAATTCGACAATTCACGTGGAAAAAAAAAAGAAACAAAATTACGGCCGCGCGCAAGGACCGGCGGACAAAATTTATTTGTTCGATCGCTTCCTGGTCCGCGTGATGCGCGACGACAGTTTCATGTGCCTCTCCCGCGAGAATCCCACGCGTTATCACCTAAAAACCACACGCACACGCGCGCGCGCACACACACATTCACATGAGAGAATCTTGACAAACACTACAGTTTTTGTCAATCTGAATTTTAAATTGAATAAATAAAATTGTGCAATTTAATTTGATTGTAAAAAATTGGAATCTCTCTTGAAATTTTTAGAATTACGATACGCTACAGTTGCTGCATTTTTTTCTCTCTTTTTCGTTTTTCACCACCTGTTGAATACGTGACGATTAAATGCGGCAACAACTACGCAATTGTTTGTTGCAGTGCGAACACATTTTGCGCTCGTATATACGCGCATTATTCGTTCATTTCGCATAAAAAACGAATCGCAAACCGCGAACAACACGCGGTTGCTCCCAGACTTAAAGAACTAATGAACATATTAAAACTCGTTTGTATCTCGAACTGGCAACTTTATTCGGTTGCGTGGATTGCGTAAGACGAACACGCCGTCTGACGTAATTAAAAGGTTTACACTTGATTCGCGCGCGTCTTCACTGGCACATTTGTCCCTTGTGCGAAAAACCGAGTTTGTTTTTTTCGCACACAGAGACGACGTCGAAGAAACGATCTTCGACAAAACGCATGTATGTATGTACGGTAGCGACCCCGTGAGAGAACGAGCGTTGAAACAAAAAAAAAAAACAGTTTATTACATTTCGCCCACTTTGTAGTATGGAATTGCGGACAAATTCCATTCTATGGAATTTTTACAACCAACCAGAACCAGCAGGTGAGTCTCAGTAGCAAATGTGTACATATAAATACACACACACAAAGTCTAATGATAAAATACAAATCTTATATTGAACCTTATCGTTTCTATAATTTTGACAATAATTTGCTTTCCTCGCACACAAGTTTTTTTTTCTTTTTATAAGTGTAAAGTGATCTAATAAATAAATAAATATATATATACATACATATATATATATATATATCGACACAAAATTATACTGAAATAATGAAACAACATGTTAATTAAAAAATATCGCTGTTGTACTTTGTTCTACAATTACACTTCCTTATCAAATCGATTACCGGCGCTTGCTACGCGCGAGATGTAGTCTAAAATTACTTGTCTCTGTTCTAATTCGCGAAAAATGCACGATCGACAACGACTCGCGTGTGCTTTTGTTTTTCTCAGTCAGTTGATTCGCATCGATGCATTTTCCTCTCTATAGACGCAGACTGTCTGTAAAAGGTGATAAAAGCGTCTCTCGCCGCGCGGACTGACTTCACTTTTGTTGCACAAATGTCTCGCAAAGCGAAATCATTCCGTTCGAACAGTGCGTTGTGTAATGTATCAAATGTGAGAAACGTGTTCGAGACACTTGATTTATACGCGATGAAAAATGAAAACCAAAGAGTGACACGAGGTGTGTGTGTGTGTGTGTGTGTATTGGAAGAACATGAACGAGGTGAGATGCAAGATCCGGAAGGAAATAAGATCTTTTTGAGCGTGACAAGTCCCTGATGGACACCATGACCACCAAACATGATCGATTTAACGATCAAGTTTGTTAAACTCGAAAGTTCAAAAATACTATAAATAGATTGGATTTTATTTGTTTATATATTGCTCGGATATAAATTTTTACTAAAACTGTTAAGCTTATGTTGTAACAAACATCATATAAATTGCAGTTGAGAAAAAATGTATGAAAATATAAATTTTGTCATTACACGATTGTTTATTGATGACTAACGTAATAACGTGTAAATGTAACAGGAACTTATATATAAACTGTATTTTTTATGACATAGGAGGGGAGACCACATTTTTCTGATGTATCTTGTAAATAACATAGAATCTCAATCGGATATCATCACAAAGTATAATTATATAAAAACATCAGATATACATGTAAAATAAGAATACAGATGACAGCAATTTTTTTCTTTTAGACCATCGGTTCCATCGTAGCAAAAGATAAAATCTTTGTTTCTATTATAGATTTATTTTATCAAAAATTGCGATAAAACAATAAATTGTGTAAAAAAGAGATTGGGTGAAATTTGGTGTTTCATGTTTGCGGAAAAATAGAGAAAACACAAAATTGTCACTCTCAAAAACATTCTATTTAGCGACACCTCGTTCTAGGAAGAGGGAAAAGTCACATCTGAGAAATAAAATTTTTTTTTTTCATGAAAAAGCAATTGAATGGAACTCTCTCCATTACAAATGCACATCTTGTTTCTATGTTTTTTTTGTTTTTTGTTTTTTTTTACTATAACTTATCGATGAAATCCGCAATATTAAGACCAGGCGGATATTTTTTTCTGTCGCATTATTTTATTAAAGGGATCGACTAGGCCATATGAATATAACTGAGGAATTTATGTTATGTTTTCTGATACAGATATTCAGTGCAAGAGTAACACCTATCTAAATCTCTAATCCAGACCCTTTCCTTTCAAACCACTTTCAATATATCTTAACGCTGTATTTTGTTTTTTTTTGTTTATACATAGGTTCTCAGTTGAAAGAGTCTAGATATTCTAACTTGTCTTCCTATTTGTAACTATATTTAAAAAAATGTGTCCTGAGATTTATTCATATGGCATAATATTTTCAGTCCAGTAGATCTTTCCTGTGTTTAATTGATTCCGTGCACACAATTTTGCTCAGTTTCTTTTTTCTCACAGTATCTGTGAAGCTTGATTTTACCGGAAATTGGTTAATCCGACTCTATTCACAAGGTTCCTCGCCCTCTGTCAAAATTAAATGGAAATTCTGTTAGGCGCTAAACAAACACATATCCGAGCGCGCACTATAATAATAATAATAATAATAATAATAATAATAATAATAACAACAACAACAACAACATAAGATACAATATATTTGACAATTACCTTCATAATCTCCTTCATGTACTAACAGATCATCTTCTTCGTTGACATCTTCCTCATTGACACCGTCTTCTTCTTCATTTACAACCTCTTCCTCATCATCATCCTCTTCGTCTCTTTCATCATCATCCTCAACTACCACTATGCTGTCGTCGCCTTCTTCTCCTTCTCCACCCTCATCGCCATCCTCAGCACCATCTTCCTCCTCTTCCTCTTCTTCACTCTCGCATTCCTCGCCATCGCCCTCAATGCCGTTCTCTACATCTATGTCTGGAGCCAGGTAATACTAAAACCCCCAAAACTCATCAGTTACATGTTTTGAAAACAATTAAACAAAGAAACAAACTTGATACAAGCATAAACATAAGATTCTAGTAAACAAGATATTTAAAGAACAAAATATATAAATGTATTTACCTGCAATGGATTAGGCCACATGTCATCCTTAATTAGTTCAGCTATTTCATCTGAGCTCGGATCTCCGTGATCCGTGAACCAATCAAAGAACGATCTGTGTTTAAGTGGCCTCTTGCGTCCTTTCAACGGTGCTTTGGTCTTTGTTCTCTTTGTTAAATCAGCACCTTCTTTCCAGCGAATGGGTGTGCTTTGAGATGCTGGATCTCCTGCAAAACAGGAGATTAATCAAAAAACTACACCACTCAAGAGACAAAATAAAAAATGAGCATCTCGGAGCGGAATATCCGGATGTTGATTTGCAAAAAATTATTAACCGTTATTCTATTAATTATAAAGATAGGCAAACGTTTTGATCCTTAACAAAATTTCATGCACACTGACTAGTGAATGATAAAAAAGCAACACGAAATGCGCTCACCAGAAGATCCTAAGTGAAATTCCTTAGTTAAAACCTCGTTTTCAAAATATGGATTTTCATCAAAGTGAAAATTTATTCTATATCCAGATTTTATATCTTCAAATTCTTCAACTTCTAATTTATTTAAGAATCTTAGCGCATCCTCCTCATCCTCTTCCAGTATTTCTGCTATTTCTTTGTTGTTTACAAACTAAACTTGTTATAAGGAATAACATTACTCACACAATATCTGCATGATATATGATACAATAAACAAATATTATATCTCCATTCTCAATCTCTCCCTCATGTTCAAATCAATACTTAAATCAATTTGCAATAGTTGGATCTAAATAAAAAAAACATGCACAAAGTGTACACATTTCAATTTGTACATTACACACTGACAGTCACTATCGCGGCGACGCATCACGATGGTCTCACCACGAGCATGTAACGCAAGTCGCAAAACCGCGACGTTACTCGCAAACGATTAATATATAAAAAGCTCAATAACACGAAAATCTTATGGTTATACACGCTTTTATATGCACGTATATAAGTACAGGCAAGATGGCGACGGTCGCCGGCGGACGCCGGCATCGCGGAGAAACGTCAAAAACGACCGCGCCGTTTTGCCTATCCGCCTCGCGCGACGACGATTTTCTTAACAAGTCGATCAAAAAGGATACAGCTGTCACCCAGAAGTTGGGTATCCTCTTGATGATGTCGTTTCGCTTCTGAAAGTAGGGCTTGCGCAGCTTGTTATACTTCTTCTCGACCTCGAGGATCTCGTCGCTGGCCTTCTCGTTCAGGCCATCGATTTGATTCTGGCACCCATCAATCTCCTCGAGGGTCTTCTGTATCTCAATGTCGTAGTCGCGCGCGTCTCCCTCGCCCGAGCCCGGATCCTCGAGCTCCTTCGCTTTTTTACTCGACGATGACATTGTTCAACGCGCGCTCTTGCCACCACTGTACACGCCACACACACACACTCTGTGTTTATTTCCCGAATGCGCTCACCTCGTCACGCTCGACGCAGAGTGCACGGCGCGCAACACCGACTGCAGCCACGGTTCGCGTAATCGCCGTTAGACGGGCGACTCTCTCGTTTTAAAACTTAAATTCCGTATCGCAACATTCACCCAAGTCGGCCTTAGTGTTCAATTAGCGGCTCGTTGTTTGCGTTCATCATCGCTCACCGCAGCGAGAGAAAAACATTTCGAAGAGACGAGTGTTAATAATTACGCATGTGCCACACGCCCGTGGTAAAAAAAAACGTATATCCGAAAGGTGCGTTGCTTGCTCAATTTGTTTATGTTGTACCTTCGAAGTAACCCGAGTATGTGTGTTTATGTTTCTTTACCAGTATACGTTTGACTAATTACCTGGAACGGACACAAACGAGTCCCTTTCTCTATCTCAACTAATTTATTCCTCCGCAAAGCACGGTCGGGATATACGACTGTCGTAAAAAAAACCGACCTTCCCATCTTCCTCGCGGCCGTTCCCCGAGCGGCAATTCCGCGGCGATTGGGGCCGCAAGTGCGGAAATCGAAAATTTTCACGTAAAACAAGGTTTGGAAGATCGAAGATTCCGTTTGTGTAAAAATGTTCTTCTTACCGATGGAACCGTCCGGCTTACTGGCGGGACCCCCACTCCCGACGATTCGCGCGGCCGAATCGCGGCGTAGGCGCGCCGTCGCCGGCGAGATCGCTCGCCAATCAACAACGGCGTAGTATCGTCGCGTCCGGGATGTCGCTCATGGAACCAAGATGGCATCCGAGGACGGTGCGGTTATCGTGTCAAACTCAAACGTAGGATGCGATGTAAATAATACGAGCCAGCGAGCGAGCGAGTCGGTTGACAGTGAAGCAGCGAACCAAACGTCGTCGGATACGACGTGGCGCATCGTTGACGAGGGGACGGCCGATCGCGATCACGCGCGTAATTCCGCCAGGACGCCCACGGGTTTCCCTGCAGCGTCACAGTTTCACGCGAACACGGAAGGGCACGCGTCACGGGGAGATTCGAGCTCCGCGAGCTCGTCCGGTGATGTTGGAGAACGGGCCGCGAGCGAACCGGACGATCAAACGCACCGCCAGCCGTCCCCGCAACGGCTCACGATGTCACACCAGAAGACTGACCTGGTCGGCGGCACCGCTTGTCTTCCGGGAGAACCAGACGGTAATCTCATTTCATGTCATTCGTTCTCGGGTCATGTTCTCCGACTGTCTTCCCTAAATGGATGAATGTTTTCTTCCTAGCTGACATTTCTAACACCGTGGTACACTTATTCAAGCCTATGCCCACACCACAGCTCTCACTGATAAGCTTTGCATGTCACTATTTTAATTGTGTTGTAAAAATATATATTCAATGGAGGTTCAAAATAATTGAATGATGATCTAAGCACATTTGTTGGATTTGAAGATAATATGGCAAGTTTGTTTTTTGTTTTTTTTTTTTCAGGTTTTTGATTTGTTGCTACAAGAAATTTATTTAAAAATTTTAGTATTAACATTTTTTTTTTTTATTTATACTGATGCTTATCAAAGCATGATTGATGCTTTTCTCATTTATTTATGTGTATCAAATATTTCTATGATTACAATTATTAGCATTTGTATAGAATTGTTGTTGAAAATTATTTGTTAACACAATTTATTTATGTTTATAGATTATTTTAATTATTTATGTTTATTGTCGCAAGCTTAACAAATAAAACAGTACGTACATAAAATTATATATTGACTTGTAGTTACGTAATTTATATTTATATGTAATTAATCTTATTTTTAGTATTTATTGTTTGTTATAAAATGGATTCAATATATGTGTATATATTTATTTATATCTTCGTTTTATAATGCGATAATGTAAAAGGAAGTCAATACTGTTTAAAGTCAAAATTAATATATTCAATTACAAAAAATCCACCCTTTAATAGATATAAAACATACAGTAAGCTAAAAAAATCTGTTGTAGAGATTGTTATATTTGTGATATTTGCGTGACACCGGTGTGAAATTTCCCTCCCAAGCAACTTTAAGTTCTCTCTTCGCAAGAAGAATGTTCCTTGGCCATGGAAAACAGTAAAAGCAAGCTATAAACATAAAAGGAAACAAAATGGTTTTTGTATTCAGATTGGATATCAGAAAGGGAGGGACTAAAAGAATGAGGGGAAATAAAACAGCAGAGAATTGGATAAGTAGGTTTTTACTCCTTATGTCTCAGAGTGATAAAAAGAGAGTTTATGTATAATGCAGGAGGAGGGGATATCAATAGATCAGCTTCTGGACCAATTTGGATCTTTGCGACCACTACTGTAGTGTCTTCCATAAAAACAAATAGATAGAAAAGTACAAAAAAAAGTCATATATCATACATGACACACTATATAATTAAAAATCTGAGCGTGACGATATTCTAAGGATAATATTTGTCTTCCTCAAGTTTATATAATGGTACCATGTATGATGTGCAGGAAGTCCAGATCACTGTAATAATGATGTAGTAAAACCTGTGAAGGAATTGATGCAACAAATACACACACATGTAAGTATTGTATAATTATTGCAAAGTACGTTCTGTGGTGTTTTACATATTTAATGCCACATATTTAAAAAAAAAAAAAAAAAATGAAATAATTCAGTATCTGTTTATGTGACTTCAGTAATTTTACTTGCAACGACAGAAATTCGTAAAGAACTGTCTTTGATTTAGGTCGAATCTGCGTGCAAAGACACAACGTTATCCGGAAATATGCACGCGTTACCCACGAAAGCGAAACTGGAGGGATGTGTAAACTTCTCCAGTAATACTCCACAACTGGGAGAAAGCCCGCAGAGTAGCGGCGAAGTCATCAGCAGTCCGAGGAGTCCCGATTACCCACCGAGAGTCTCCGTCAGTCCTCATCCTCACAGTCCCGACACATTTTCCATCGGCTTGATGTCGGCGAACTCAACGGTCATCATGGACACAGCAAAGTACGAAGAGGACAGCGCTGATAGTGTGGCCATGCACAAGGATAAGGTGACGGAGTACTCATTTTGCACATTGCCAGAAAAGATCGGCAATTCGCAAACCGAGATCAGAAAGACAGAATCGAGCGAGGAGCAGGACGAAAAAGTCATAAACACAAACATAAAAATAGAACCGATTGAATCTAAGGAAGAACCAGTGGATTCTCCGGAAAAGCTTCAAGTTCCGGTCAAAGTGGAGTGGATGAAGAACGAGTCCTCGAAGATATCTCAAGAGAAACTCGCGGATTCTACTTCGAGTTCTAATCCGTCATCAAGTTCGCACTCGAAAACTTCCTCTTCGAAAGAGAAACGTTCGAAGGACGACAGACGATATTGCTCGCGGTGTTACAAGAGAAAGAATATAAAGAGAGCAAGCATCGGTGTGCAATGCAAAAGGGACCGTCACATGTTGTCTTTGAGCAACAAGGTTTTTTCCTCCAAGTCTTCTGTCAGTGATAACGTGAGGATGAATCTACAAGCGAAGAATTACAAGATGCTCACCAGTCCATTGGTGCAGGGCGAACTGTTTGAAGGCCTAAAGTACAAGAAGTTTATTCACATAGAAATTTATCCCAACGGCGGCGCGTCGGTGGTCCACATGTTTCAGGATGAAATCGACAATTTGTCGCGTGAACAGATGGAAGAGTTGGTGCACGAATATTTTAAGGTAAATGAAATTTGTCGTTACATAACGACAAATAATTTTGTTTGTAATGCGCGCGTTCCGCATGTACGCGTTGCAATTAATACGATCTGATTGTATTTTCTCCACAGGTGGTATTTGGTGAAGACGAAAATGGAAACGCTTATCACGTTATGGGCATAGTTCACAATGCGGCCGCGTATCTGCCCGATCTTTTAGATTACATGGCGACCAATTATCCCACGTTGACCGTGAAAAACGGAGTGTTGGGTAGAAGCAGCGACATAGAAACAACCACAATGGCTCAATACAAAGACCAAGTTTGTAAAGCTTATAGCAATGGCACCATTAGATATGGACCGTTGCATCAAATAAGTCTCGTGGGCACCGTTCACGAAGAGGTCGGCGGTTACTTCCCGCATCTACTGCAAAAGTTAGAAGAGAATCCATTCCTGAAAATGGTAAAATACATTTGTCCACACATATCACAAGTTGCATATATCTAATTTTGTTCATTGTGGTTTTGTATTTTTTGTTTTATAGACGATGCCTTGGGGGCCTTTGTCTGTCGTGAAGATGGAGACGCCACAGGAGTCGAACGACGGTCCCATCTTGTGGATCCGGCCGGGTGAACAGCTGGTGCCAACTGCCGATATAAACAAAAGCCCGTACAAACGACGCAGAACAGGCATTAACGAATTGAGAAATCTCCAATATTTGCCGAGATTGAGCGAGGCGCGCGAGTATATGTTCGAGGATCGCACGAAGGCGCACGCCGATCACGTCGGTCACGGATTAGACAGGATGACCACAGCAGCAGTCGGTGTGCTGAAAGCTGTTCACGGCGGTCAGACGTCTGATTGCAACAGAATCACGAAGGACGTCGTAGCCTTCTACGCGGGCGACTTCGCGGAGCTCGTCGAGAAACTCCAGCTGGATCTCCACGAGCCACCGATATCGCAGTGCGTGCAGTGGGTTGAGGACGCGAAGCTGAACCAGTTGCGAAGACAGGGCATACGCTACGCCAAGATAAATCTCTACGACAACGACATATATTTTCTACCGCGCAATATCATTCATCAGTTCAGAACGGTATCGGCCGTAGCGAGCATTGCCTGGCATATCAGACTGAAGCAATATTATCCGGAGTCGCAGCACAGTTCGAGCATCAGACACAGCCGCGTGATGAACGAATCTGCTCATCGTATCAAAGAGAAAAAAACTCTAGAATCTGTCGGTGACGAGCAGAAAGAGAACACGAATCGGCAGCGTTTGGATCAGAAACTGTCGATCGATTTTCTCGAGAAAGCGAAGGAGAGGGCGGCCGAGTATCAGGGTAATCTAAAGAAGTCCGATCAGCATGGGAAACATCGCAAGAGTCGTCATCACTCGAGATCGCACTCATCGTTGAAGCGAAAAGTAAAGGAAGAGAACACCGAAAACTCGTCGTCGGACCCATTCGGTAAATCGTCCAAGAACGAAAACACCGAGCAGAAGCAAAGCGGCGACAAGAGGGACGAAAAAAGATCGGAGAAAAAGCACAAGGATTGTCGCCGCAGCAGCGACAAATCCAGCAGTCATCGCACACACAGCAATAACTCCGACACCTGTCATTTTTGTAAGAAGAAAAAATACGACAGCAACGGTCACAAGTTGAGTCATCACTGCGGTCATCACGAGAGATCAAGCAGCAAAAACATATCGAGTAAGGAAAGTGTTTCCGCTCTAGTCGATACGAGAGTGGTTTCCAAGTTCGATAGTTCGTCTTCCATGAAGGAGACTAAACGGCAACTGAGCGATTCGGGACTGTCTCCGTCTGTAGACGCGTCCGAGACCAGAGCTTCCTCTCCGGTTGTCCTTGACGAGCAGGTTCTGATGCAGCGACAGGCCATAGCGAAAACGTACGCCACCCAGGTGGTGGACAGGGCGTTGGAGATAGCCATCTACAAGTCCAAAACCGACGTCGATGAGGTTTGTCAGTCGTTGCGCGCCGAGGTTTTGGAAGCGTCGAAGGAGGAGCTGGAGAAAATTCACAAAGAGAGCTTTGACATCGCCGAGCAGTACTTCAAGGACGACGTAGCGAAATTGAAGAAGTACTGCCATTTGTTAGAAGCAGAGACCGTAATGGCGTTTTCATCGAAGATCGAATGCGCGACGGAGAACGCCGTCAAGGCTCTCATCGAGATGGCAGAAGACGAGGCGAAGGAGAGAGCGAAAAACGAGAAAACCACTAATCTCGCTACTTCCGATGGCAATTCTTCCAACGAAAATTCAACAGTCACGTCGTCGACGTTGACTACAACGATGACGGCAACAGCGGCGCTGGCGACGACGACGACGACGACATCAACAACAACAACAGCAACAGCAACAACAACAACAACGACAACAACAACTACCACCTGCGTCTCCTCGTATTCTTCTTTGTCCGTGTCCTCTGCGTCCTCGTCTACCGAGAACGAGAGGCACAGCAACAGCAGAAACAGCAGCAGCGAGGAGAATTGCTCGAAATCGTTCGAGACTCACTCGAAATCAAAATGTACAAAACGACACGACAAAGACGAGAGGGACGACAGCAGAGAGCGGAGACACAAGAAGAAGAAAGATCACGAAAGATCACGGGATCAAAAGCACGGTCGACATCGCCATCGGAGTCCCCAGTCTTCGAAATCAGATTCCAAGATGTCTGACCCCAGCAAGGACGAGACACCGAACATTTCCGGTCTCCCGCACATGTGTTCCGCCTCGGAGAAATCTGAACGAGCGAATTCTAAGGAAGACGAGAAGAAGACGGATACGAGGAGAACGAAGTGTCACTGTCACAGATACGGAGAAAAGAGACAGTCCGGCGGCAGTAATATCGACAAGGACAGCCGCTCGTCGAGTCACTCATCGAGCTCGAAACACAAGAGAAAGCACAGTTCGTCTCCTTGCGAGCACACGAAGAAATTTCAAAAGGATTCGAGCACGCGAGTTTCCCAATCGAGCGCGCAGACGAGCAGCACGACAGCAGTGGCGATAACGACGACCAAAATCGCATCAACGACGTCAGCGACATTGTCGTTACCGACTACGTCGACGACAACGACAAGTTCAACGCACTCATCGCCGACGAGTACCGCTGCGTCGAACACGTGAAAAGATGATCATCGTTATCGACGAATGTAATAGTACAATCTGCTTGTTGAAGAGCATCGAATCCAATGTCCGCGCGACGAGAACGAAGTCGTCGTTTGTCTACGGATTTATTTATGTATCATCAGACGCGGAGTTTTCGGGGATGAAACTTCGGCTAATTGAAGAGAAAGAGAGACGTATCTCTCTGGAGCGCGCGTTTCGCATACCGGCGTCTCACGTTATCGCTTTGTTACCTCAATGTCAGTGGCGTAGTAAGAAAAAACAGCGCTTGGAGCGGTCTTCTCTTCCCTACAAAGTTGCTTTGATAATAACTTACTTCAATAATTAACAAATATTTTAATCTAGTAAAATCAATCTTTTTATTTTACGCTTTATTTTTTTGATAAAAAAATAATTTTTTATAAAAAGAGAAGCGACGTCTCGATCGCAAAACATTTTTTTTTTTTTTTTTAATGTATTCACAGTTGTCTGTGTTGGAGACAGTGAAGTTAAAAGCGTGAACTTCAAACAATAAAAACGCGTTTACATATTGCTCTATTGCTCTATTGCCCTGTTGAAACGGCGCCCAGGACGGATTGTCCCCTCCGCCCTCCCCACTTACTACGTCACTGCTCAATGTTGTATTCGAGAATCAGCAAATTCTAAGTTTTTGCCAAGGTGATCTTCACGCGGCACACCATGTCCTAACAATATTCTATCGATACGTATCGAATATCTATAGAATCTGGATCTGATATCCGTTGTGCTCTACATAGAAATAGTTTCCTCAGTACTTTGTCTTTGATTTGACCGATTCCCACACGTATCGAACGCCTTTAATCATTCTGTCAATGCCCGGATGCTCTTCTTTGACCTTCACGATGAAACAAGTTTTTACGGCAGCGCGCGAATTTTCTTCTCGCGCCGTCTTCTTCTCTTCCCGATCTTCATTCTCGAGGGTGCAAGGAACAGTTTTCCGCGGAGTTTATCTCAACATCAGTCTTATCAGAGTCGCCGTAAACTCGATTACTGCGCCGTTCAACGCATTGACAGAAAAGTTAAACATCTATCGTGTGTGAAGGAGTGTATGTTCGATAGTTACATTCAAAATATCGATTTTGCCGGTGTGTTAACGCGCCATCAGCTGTTTGTAGCCTCCCCTTCTCCGCGTCTCACTCCCTTCATGGTCCAGTGCGAACAGATTCTCTCTGACGTGGCTGAACGGTCACGGGGATTTTCAACGAGAGAGGAGAGCGACAACGGAAAGAGATTGCACATCACGGATTGCGTTTGTATTTTACCAAAGTAGAGATCGCCGTATTTCAAAAATCCAAAGACGAGAGATAGAATCTTTACTGACCGAGAGAATTTGCCTCAATCCGTTTTTCCTTCCGCGACGTACGTGACACAGAGACAAGCATTTAAACACACAGGTACACACACAAACACAAAAGTAAAAAGCAAAAAAAAGTTTACTATGTAACATGAAGAAAAAATAAATACGGTCTTTTTTAGAAAGTACATGCACACTCGTTCTCACACACACACACACACACCACACCACACCACACACACACAGGATCGCAAAACTTATTTTGTTACAAGAGAACTTTGAACGTTCTTTACTTCTCATTCGCCAATGAGAATTAAAAAAAAGTAAAGCTAATACGTATAATATAGACGACCAAATGGAATGGTGTACAAAAGGGGATTTGTACAAATTTGTGATCACGAAAATTATAATCCCAATTAGCACGTTGGTGCGATACATACTTGTACATAGAGTAAAATATTCTTGTTTTTTTTTCTTTTTGAAGAATCGTATTTTCATCTCACGAGATTCGCTTAAGTTATTATTTATGTGTGTTGTTCTATAATATTATTTATGATTTTTTTTTTTCATTTTGGTCATTCGACGATAAAAACAATTCGAAATCCCGTACATATTAAAGAGTAGTAGATCGCTTGATTTCTCAGTCGACCGATACCATGTTCGTTTTCTTATAATAGTGTGACTGTGTGAGAAAACTCGTGTTATACAATATCTACTTATATTATTATTAGATACGTAGGATGTCTTAAAGACGATCGACGAGATGTAAGAGACGTCTCTTGTACATATATGTCATATATATATCTCATATGTTTATATATGGTATATATATGTATATATGTGAGATATGTATGCAATATATATCATATACATATATATACAAGGATGTTCCGTAACTAGTGATACAATCGGCAAGATCAGATTTTTATGTAAAACCATGAAAAGTGTAAACTAATAATTTTTCACACAAAGATTCGTCTGAAATGTTAGTTTTAACGTTCATAAGTTCAGAGCGTATATTTAGCCAACATGTTTAGACTCCTAAAAAGTTCTCGAGTAATCAATTTGTACGTTGTCAAATCAAAAAATCATTAGCTTTGTTTCCCATATTTCTCGTTTGTCTTAAAAATTTGTTTGTTGCGTCGTTAGTTACGGGTCACCCTGTATATATGCGATAATTAAGATACTGATAATAAGATAAGGACATCCTCTGCACGTGATTGTGTTTGGTATCACACGCGTCGCGAAACAAACGCTGTCGGTGACGATTTTTCATGATATTGCTTATTATCTATCTTGAGAATTTATTATCGAGTAAGTTTACAATTTAGTTCCTAGTTGACGCGAACAACAATTTTAAATATTACTCACTTCCGATTGTTTCTTCGCAAAAAACACATTTTTCGTTTTTTAAGTCAAAGATAAAGTTGAACTTTACAGAAACTCTGAGTTTTTGTTTCCTTAACAAGAGAGAGCATTAAAAAAACTCTTCACTTTTGCAAAAGCAAAGATTTGCAACATTGCGACAATTTAATCACAAACAATATCGTTTCTTTTACTTCCTGTATCTAAATGTAACAATATGTTAAAGTAGTTTTCGGAAACTTATCAATTTAAAGAAAAACAATTTAACGGTGTTAATTAAAAAGATTTTACGCACGTATTAAAATTGTACCTCGCGAACGACTCGCAGTACGCTCTCCTTACGTTTTCTCACAACACATTGTACGTTTACAATAATAATGATCATATTTTCCCGTATTCTTTATTTCGTAAGAGCCGTATTCTTTATTTTATTAAGTACGAGGATTTCTCATAATACATGGAGACGTTAGTGAAGATGTCGTGTCACGCTTTCGTTACGTACAACCTGTGTTCGGAACCGATTTATTTGTTGCACATTTGCGTTAGTTGTCACACGATTAGTGTTTAGAAACAAACAATTAAATTAAAAAAAAGATTTTCTAGAAACAAACTAAACTTAGATCAGTTGTGACCACCAGTCTTCGAGAATAATAAGTTTCAATCGTACATTTTTGCATTGCAGTGTATGGTTGGTTTTTCTCAATAATAAATAAGTCAAGCACAATGTGTGTGAAACATGAGATTCTTTCGAACGACTTTCCTCGTAAAACGAGGCGAGAACGAAAATTTACAGGAAAGAAACGCGCTATAGAGTGACTGAAATGTGACTGTAATGAGATAACGAAAGTATACACAGATAAAATATATACATAT